TCGAGAATGCCTGCCACCTGGTTCGGCCGACAGGATTATTCAGAAAATAGCTTTGCATGAGAGGCGCGAGATAAAAGTCTGTATCTACCTGTTCAGGGTCAGCATTTTCTTCTAAGAGTAGTCGTGCAGACCCACCATCTTGTAGTCGCAGACCATCGCGGTACTGGTGACATTTTCCTGCAGATGCAGCCAGGTCGCGTAGTCACTAGCTGGGCGTCAGTTGATATATCCTCAATCCAAGACTCGCACCTACCCGATAGTCTCTTCATGGCAGGTACTGCCATCGGTGGCGTTGATGCGCTCACAAACGGAGCCTAGAACCGCCTCCATGGCACTGGCATTGCCGTAGCTCATGACGGGATCCATAAGCAAGGCACTTATCATCAGATCCCGTCCAAAGTAGGTCAGAAAGCGCCATGCACCAGCAAGAAGTTTCTCCGAGTAGGAGAGAAACGAGAGTGCAGTGGTCTGAACGGGCATTTTAGACACAAGGTCTGCAGAGGCATTGTTTATCACGTCGGCCGGAGGCAGCTGGGTCAGCTGCGGATAGTCAATCTCTGCCGAAAAGACATAATCACCCGCCTCAAATCTGACCGTCCTGCCGGAGACGGTGGCCTTGGATGTGCTGTTGACAGGAGTAAACTTGATTGCGCTCGTGGTAACGTTGTCCAGCCACAGACGCTGGAGCATCACGCTTCCATCAGGAGAGCTGATGAACTGGATAGCATCTTGGATCTTAGGCTGCAGGAGGCTTGGACCCTCAACGAAATCCCGGATCGTGCGAATACTGCCCAGAATGGGGACGGTCAACACCGCAGACGAGTTGAAGCGGAGCGTGCCTTGCACCCCGACCCCTGGGTTTGGCTCTTTAGCCGTGTAATTGAGGGACAGTGGGATTCCCACGGTAGAGTTGACGACCGAAATACCAAGGGTGCCGTTGACTCTGTTCTCAGGAGCAAAGTAGGTGCAGATGCCGCTGTTGCCCGCCGGCCAGGCTACAATCAGCCGAGGCCCGATCAAGCTCAGATTGCTGTCAGGTAGTGGGCTAGTGACAACAACTTGAGCGGCAACATTGCAGTCGGAATAAAAGTGATTGTCATAAGGACCGCTGCTCAGTGCAAGTGTGGCCGGCTGTTCACTGCATGATTTGGGTGTCTTCACTCGTCAGCAGGAGTAGGTGAGCAGCTATGCATCGTACTTACATCTGAAGTCCTCTCGCTCAGAGGACTGGCCAAGACAGTCAGTGCCTGAAAGGCAGAAAGAGCTGCCAACAATAATCGCTTCATGGTGGCAAATCACTGATGGAGGGTCGCGACTCGCCAGTATGTTCGTGCATCACCAGGAAAAGGGCTCCTTATATCTTTTTTCGTCCTCACTGGAGAAGGTATAGTTTGTCCACGTTTGATTTCATCGAGATCGTCAAGGAGGCCAAATATGGCAGGAGGAAAAGAGCTATGCCGTCAGTGGAGGTGGCCCCCGTACAATAAGATTGGACCTGTCCAGCCACGGCATGCTTGATCTTAACTCTATACGGTCGCCACGGCGGGGAATCGGGGAAACGGGAATAAGGAAGCACTGGATTCTGGGGCATTTGGGGTATTTACCGTCTGTCAGTTTCCGATAATTATCCTTTAAGTGAACATCAGATTCGGCCTCAGGCATTCCTAGGTTCTTGCATAGTTATGTGACTTTCGTCTCCAGTGATGATATTATTATCGATCGTCAGTACCCAAACATCGTCTAGCCTATTGTGAAAGCATCTTCTTGACCCTCTTCACCAAACTCTGTTCAAACTGCTCCACCCCGTTGGGCTGCTCGATGAGCTTGCCGCCCTTCATCACATAGACCGACCTTCTTCGACTCTGCTCTTCGACTTCTTCGTCTACCCCTTCAAATTCTTCATCCAGATTATGCTCGTCATCTCGTTTCCCTTCAATGACGGACCGGACCAAGAAACGATCGTGAGATACCAGGAGGATTGCGCCGTTGAACGAAGACAGCGCGGTCGCAAGAGCCGTGACTGTATGGAAATCCAGATGTGTCGTGATTTCATCGAGAACCAGCAAATGAGGTGCGTTCCAGATTACCTTAGCAATTGCCAGACGGACCTGAAGTATGTCAACAGCTGCAGATCGCTACTCAGACTTACAAAACTCACCAGTTGACCTCCGGATAAGCGTGCAATGGGCACGTCCGAGACTACTCTGCCCTGCAGACCCAGTGACGACAGCAAACCACGGATCTCACCCTCGCTAAGCACGCTATTGATCTCCTTGGTCATGAAACCTAACGCGGTCAGCGTAGGATCGGCTCGACCTTGTTCCTGGAGCTCCTCGATCGAATGCTGCGCATAGTATCCCAGCTTCAGCCTGGAGTGGGTGGATATCTTCCCCTGCGTCGGCTGTAGATTGCCCGTCAGCAGGCGGATGAGTGTAGATTTTCCAGAGCCATTGAGTCCCATGATTCCGACCCGGTCGCCCATGTGCATCACCAGCTCGATCCCGTTCAGTATAGGCGGTGCATCCCGCTTGTATCGGAAACCCACCCCTTCGGCCGAGAGCAGCGGACCCGGGAAGCGCAGGTCACTGGCATCGGGCAGGAGAATCGATGCGCCTTTTTCGTCCGTTGGTACTTCAATCTCAGCTCGCGCGGTGAGATGGTAGCCCACCAGGTCCCTGTTCAGTTTGAAACGGCCGCCATTAGCGCTCACTTGAATGCCCATGCGGTCGTCGACTTTCTTCTGCCGGGACTTGGCCATGCGCAGCTTATTGTCGTCGTTGGTCTTCTTCCCCAGCTTGATGTTCTCCCGAATCGTCGCTTCCATGTGCGCGATCTGGCGCTCTTGTGCCTCCTTCATGCGGCCCCAGTAGAGTTTCTGCGCTTCAAAGTCTTTCTCGTAGGCGGACAGGTTTCCTCTGAAGTAGGTGAGTTTCTGGTCGCGCAGTATGACGATCTCCTCGCAGACCGCATTGACAAAGTCTCGGTCGTGAGATACTAGCACGATGGTCGTCTGGGACGAGTCTCGTAGCCGCTGTAGGTAATTCTCCAGCCAGACGACCCCAAGCAGATCCAGGAAGTTCGTCGGTTCGTCTAGGATCATGATATCCGGGTTCCGGATGAGGACGCTGGCCAACAGGCAACGCATGCGCCAGCCCCCAGATAAAGTCAGGAAGGGTTTGCTGAGCATTGCTTCGTCGAAGCTCAGTCCGGTGAGGATCTGCCGAGCTTGCTTCTCAATATCAACCAGTTTCATCTGCCCATGCTTAGTATTCGGCATCATCTGAACCTAGTTTAGGGCACTCACGACTTCGAATTGAGCCTGTAATTCCTGCAAAGTATCCATCGCCGCCTGTGTCTCAGCCTTGAGCGACTCCGCATCAATAGGCTGATCAGGCTGCTCGACCCTACCACCGAATTAGTGGACTTCCGCGCCTCCAGAGGACAACTCACAGCCCCTTCGAAGCCTGGTATCTCGCCTCAGCCGCCTTCAAATCCTTCCGAGCTTGCAACCCCCTTGCACCGCTCTTGAGGCTGGCATTCTTCTGCGCAAGGAACAGCTGCTTCTCAATCTCATCGTGGCGGACTTTCCGGATCGCCCGCACAGGTGCCACCGGATCATCCGTTTCGAAGCTCTTCGACAGTACTTCACAATCGTTAGATCTTTCCCCTTGCAATAAACGGCTACTGCCTTACCATCCATCTTCCGCACAACCTCATTGCGGAACCGATCGCTGCTCATGACATATTCCAAAACGGGAAGATCCCGCCTATTGCGATCCTCCTCCTCGCACTGGAACGTCCGCACTTCGCCCTCTGTCTCAGTCTGCTGCAGGATCGCGATGCGCGTTGGATGCGGAATCCCAGGAACCAGTTTATCGGCCATAGCGCGGAGTAGCGCTCCATCATCATCAGCATGCTAGGTACTCAAGACTTAGGTGGACTCTTAATCAACATACTCGACTTCCCCGTCCCATTTCGCCCAATCAGACCATAATGCACCCCCGACTTGAGCCGCAAGTGAGCGTCAACGATGAGCTCCCGCGCCTCGGCCTTGGATTTCGATTTTGATTTCGATTTCTTTGCTTTGGAGTCACCGTCGTCCACCGAGTCGGCCTGTGAGGATGTGACTGCGATGGTGAGACCTTCTACGTCGATCTGGGATTGTATTAGCGCGTTTCCTGTCATAATATGGGTGTATGTATACATACCTCCTGCGCGGGCTGATCGTGGAGTAGATGGAATCGGGTCTGTTTGCAGGTTGCTATGATGGAGGGTGTCATTCTGTAGATACTGGATGCAGTCGCGACGGAAGTATTCTTGTTCTACAGGGTGTACGCAAAAGAATCTTTGGTTGATAATGCCTTGATTGTATATAGTTAAACATGCTCTCCTCTTGTTAACGCCAACGCCAGTGCAATGCACGATATTAGTATTGAATAGCCACGACACACCCTATGTCAACATAACCTCGGCCACAAGCTCATTCAATACGACTTCTCGGAAAAGATTTACATGATGATTCCCTACGTTGCACTACACTGAGTCACGATGAGCGTCCAGACTCGTGAGAAGCGCAGAGCGGGGTCCGAAAGGGGTATAGCGGCGATCAGGTCTGCCTGAGGAATTTGATCTCATTGATGATTGTGGTGAACCCTGTGGATTGAGTCGATATATATAGTGGGATGGATCAGTTAATGTGAGTCATTTTGATGAGTGGATAGAGAAGTGAATGTGCATAGTTGTATAAGATATGGTCAGAATATATTGCGGAGTCATGTATAAGAAGCCTCAGGCTGAAATATCAGTAGTTCGATATTGTAGATTAGATAGCATTTAGAGGTCTCAAGAGAAATGGTACCTGAATTAATTATCAAGATGTTGCTAGTATGTACTCTAGATAGATGCGTGCATAGCTATCATTTGATATTATGATTTTCGCCACTTGAAGCTTAATGCCTCATCATCGGCGACAACCATGATAACCATCCACATCTGATACTCACCACTCCATTCTCTGCTATATGATGAACTACGTATTGACCAGTCAGGCCACCATGACAAGTGCTCAAACCTTTCTACCGCGAAATTGAAACTACCGTATCATCTGACCTGTCGTGAACGCAATCATGACCTCATCCCAACTACACCTCTGAACCCGTAGCATATAAGGGCCATGAGTTCCAAACCAACCATTTCGAAAAGCAAATCAGTCGTCAACTGAACATCAAATCAACATCATCACAATGACTTCCAACTACAATCTCAGAAGGGCCGCCAACCCAGCCCAAGACCAGGCGGGAGAAACGGCCGGCGAGCCCGACTTGCAGTCTCAGTCGCAGACCAACCCCGAGGTCCAGTCGCAAACAAACCAGCAGAAGAGCCAGCAGAGTAGCTTCCAGAGCTCGGAATCCTCTAAGCAAGTGCGTGTCCATTACCTTAAATCAAGAAGTTTTTGGTTACTGATTCCGGCGACTAGACCTCCAGTAACGATGTCAAATGGGGCAATCAGCCTGGAGACTTCAGTGCCTCGGAGACAAATCCAAAGCCACCTGGATCGTATCATTTCACCAGTGACCAGCTGTCTCATCCGCAGGAGTAATGGTGCTTTATGTCTGATGGGGTTCGACTCGAGTAAGCTGCGGTAGTGTAACATGATGCGCAAAAGTGTATACGTATATGAACATCTGTATTGAAGAATGCTGAACGTGAGATTTTGAAACGAGAATTGAATTGAATATCGAGATCTGCTGTATATGTTAACACAGAACAGTCTGATCAACCTGACATCAAGTAGGCATCGTGCCATCGGACAGATGAAGCCAGTCCACCGCCTAGATGGTCAACATTCTGGTAGTAGAATGCTCACTACGCAGTTGGGCGCAGGGGTATTGAGAAGACCGACCTCGCTCGCACGATGACTGCACGGAAAATGAATGCACCACTAGCCGATCTGTTGTGCTTCACCTCAGATCACCCATTTCACAGAGAGACCGACCATTCTGGAACCCCTGTAGACGTGTACGGTTTGACAACAAACCGAAACGTTGGAATCGTGGTCAGAGAGACTTCGCAATGCAATCCACAGAAGTATGGTTCAGTATCAGATCAGACTAGTGGATCGTTCTCGATCAAACCACAGATAACTATAGATTAGATGATGAAACAGGGGCGTGGAGAGAAAGCAGCCTTGCAAGGCATTTTCCACGATTCCCAATCCGCCATTCTCGCGTCTAGACGCCCAGGAGGCTTCGTTGAAACGATAGAGTCGAAGGTCTAGACTGGGCGGAGTATCACCGCATGTGAGTGGACGGACTTGATCAATTCCGATAGATATCGTCTCCCGTATGAGTTCCATAATTATTAACCCAGATGGGTATGTCGTTCGCAGGTCCGTGCCGTGGTAAGAGGAGCGGAATCCTGCCGAGCCCTCCTCAGCAGGAGGATGAGCTCGGCCCTCTGCATGACCTGTGGATCGGTAGACGATCAGGCTAGACTCACGTCGGATGGGTTATCCCCATGCAGTATCTACTTCGGGCCTGTCCAGATGGCTATTTGATCGTGCTGCGCCTCGGACAGACAGAACAAAGCCAGTCGTGTTTGGAGATATTCTGTAGCCTGGCTGTGGCGTCTGCTGGTCAGCCGAACGAAGATTCTTAACGCCGATACCGCATTCGGCAATCTGGCCCGGTTGTCGTTCACAGTTGTCGCAGTCGATGTCGGTTTCTCACTATCACAGCTGAACTAGTGGCCAAGTTGCCAATAACAGGGCGAGCCATGCCCAGTCGAAACAAATAGACAGATTCAGCGTCAGCTTGAGTACTTGGACGGGTTACACAGTTGCCGGTTTAAACTTTGGTAAAGGCTTGTAGTCGAGTTCCATCGCCGATGATTCTCCATTTGGCCCATTCAGTTGCTAAAGCTGATCAAGCAATAGTGGTTAGATGGCTTGCAGAGTGGCGGTGCGGCTAGTCACTAACTACTTCGTACCATAGTAACAATGGAGACGTAGTACGGCAGTACGTAACAGTCTAGATATCCGTAGACAGCAGATTGAAGATAAACTACCCCCTCTAGAGAATTCTTCAACCTCTCTAGCCGTGCCAAGCTTTGGCTCAGATTTCACCATGATCCACCATAAACCAGAAATTAGGAGACCTGGGGATTGTGGAAGCCGAGAATCAGCCAAAGCGGTCCCCAAGCCTTCTAGAACGACGCTGGATATCCGAAGAAGGCAGAGCGCTGATCTCCACGAGCTACTCGGTCTGGTCATTCGTTTAAATGTCAAAGATGACCATTCTTATTACCAAAGATTGATTTAGCAAAAGGCTTCATCTGCACTGTCATTTTCGCCAGCTGGTCGCATACAAAACCCTACCTCTTGTCCTTCGTTGTCTGTTGTTCCGTGCTAACAACTGGAATGTAATGATTTCTGTCCCAGGGATACGTAAATGCCTCTCTACGTCCAAGATTCCTGGTTGAAGCACGGATGGTTCAATGTCGAGTTTCATGTCTCAACAACATAACAGACTCAAATATGTGAACATCCGGCATTTATCCATTTTAATTTCCAAGGAGAACAGTTTCTTGTGAAATCGAAAGCAAAACTCATGTATTATTGGCCAATTCAGAGCCACATACGTCATTTCCCTGCTCAAAAGCGGACCTAGGGCTTTACTGGAGTATGTTCCGAGAAGGGTGGCCAATCAAAATGATCCCTGATGCCATGAAAAAGGGATGAGGAGGGCAGTTTCGTCGGACAAACAGACTTGAAACAGCAAAGCGCCAAACGATAAAACACCAGACGAGGACCATTGTTGATTGATTATTTTGGGGCAAATGTCAGGGGCACTAATAGTACCGTACCCAGTATTTGGAGGATAGTTCTCGTATTCCCGTTGAGGATGAAATATAACACAAGCTCAACATGACATGCAGGTGGTCAACTGGCTGCATAAAGGATCTCTTGTTGGCGTGACCTCTGATGATCAACTACCGTAGATAGAAGTAAACAAACTACCAGATCTTGGTGGAAGATCTCCTGATTGTCACCAAGACTTGCCGTATCCAAGACTGTAACAATACGGAACAGGTAAGGAGGGTGGATCACCTCCTTAGGGTGCAGCATTGTTAGCCCTAGGTCTTAGGCCAATCAACGGCCTCAGCATCAAAAGGACTCCGCTTCTCGGAGCTGAGTCAGCGGGGACGCGCAAGCCGCTCCTCTACCTAACCTGATTTCTATTCCTGGAGAGGACAAAGTGCCCACTTCTCAGGCCTCCTAGTTACGAGTAGTGTCTCCTCCAGACTCCTAGTTCTACCGCGACCATCTATGGAACCTCCCAACTCCTGTCGTTCTGCTTCACGTCTCTGATCCCTCATAACCTATCTATCTATCTACTATCTATCACCCTTTCCACCGGTCGATCTCCATCAATCTCCCTGACCCATCCTACCGTTACTACGATTTCGACTGCCTTATCCCACACCTTTCCAACCCTTTCCATTGATCTCGACTCTTTGGTTCATCACCTCAACTTCATTTCCCTATCCATTCTTTCCTCGAACGATATCCTTCTAGAACCTCGCGTATACGTACATCCTTAAAATCTCGATCACGCCTTTCACCGTCATTCGGTATCTGCATATATCCAGCCGCCCTATCAAACTATCAATTGACCATCGTTGATCGACTGGACGCTTCATTCGTTCGATATCGGAGGTACTCGCAGTCCATTAACAAAATGGCCACTCTAGCAGAACCCCTTACGGTCATGTCATCATCAACCTCGCCAATGCCGACCGTGTACGAACAGGACATTGACAGCTTCATCAACCTCGATCAACTCACCTACACATCCGCCGAACCGGCTCGACCAAAAGCCATCCTAGCAAGCCAGCCTTCTCTTCCCAGCTCAGATTTCACCGCCGGCGATGTTCGCAGTGCGACATTCGCTGCCAATGGTCACTCGCCTATGGCTTTCCAAGGGCCTAGCCACCAATATGACGAACACAAGCAGCAGACTGGTCTGCCACCAGGAGCTCTAGCTCAGGCAATGAACTTCAATCAGATGGCCGGCGTCACTTTCGGTAACGCGAGCCCTGCTTACCAGATGAATGGCGACATGTTCGCTAGCAGTCACATGAAGCGGGAAGACACTTCGTTCGATTTCAACAACATGTCTTCTCGTAACCCGTCTGAAATGGACCTGGAATCTGACGGCATGGGCGCGGTTCCTTATTATCTCTCACCCAATGTCAACAAGAATCAATTCATCGATCCTAATGCTCTTGGAGGTCATGAAGTTGTTCCTGCCGGGCCTTCCACTCAGGTCGGCCGCATGTATCCGGGAATGCACCAACAACAAGCAGCCATGGCAAAGGCGGCTCAACAACAACAACAACAAAAACAACATGAGATGCTTCGTCAGCAGCAACAGCAGCAGCAATTCCAGCAACAGCAACAACAACAACAACAACAGCAACAGCAACAGCAACAGCAGAGCCAGCCCCCTCGCGCCACTAACCCTGCCGTGGAGGAACGGATTACGCGCCTCTTGCAGCAGATGAGACAGAACGCTATGGGCACTATCGAGGACACCCCATCGCCCTCTTCGTCCTTACCTCAAATGGCAAAGATGAAGAAGGATGAGCAGGATATGGACGAAGATGAAAGGTTACTTGCTAGTGAAGAAGGAAAGAAACTCAGTAGCAAGGAACGTCGGCAACTACGCAACAAGGTTTCGGCACGCGCTTTCCGATCGCGCAGAAAGGGTATGCTTTTAATTCTCGAACAGCGACCATGTCCGCAATACTAACATGATCTAGAATATATCGGCCAACTTGAGTCAGAGGTCGCTGCACGGACCAATGAGGCCCACGAACTACGTCTTCAGAATCGTGTTCTGTACGAGGAGAATGCTCGCCTCACCGACCTTGCTCGCATGCTTCTCTCCTCCCCTCATTTCTCTCAGTTCCTGGACGAGATGAGCGTCAACGGCGTCCCCGCCCCCAATCTACCTCAATCTCAAACCCAGGTTGCTCAATCCCAGGCGCAGCAGCAGCAGCAACAGCAACAGATTAAACCTCAGTCTCAACCACAACCACAACCCATGGGGCAGCCGCCCATGCAGGCTAGCATCGCCAGAGATGCCACTCCTAATCACGGTATCCCGGTCCCTCAGAACCCTCAGGTTGGCATGGTCATGGTTCCTAATCAACCAATGGATGTCTCTGCAATGAGTCTTAACAATGGCGCCTGGAACACTGGAATTGACATGAGCTATGGCAACACTCCTGTGTTTGCTGTCCTGGAGGTTCCCGAGGGTCCCGCCCTCGACGCAGAGATGCTCTGCGGAAAGAGCTCGACTTTGTTCGGAACATGTTTGCCAGAAGTATCTTCTGCAAAGGATGAAATCTCCATGATCGAGCGGCCGCCAAATACAGAGGAGGAGACGAATGATTCTCCTGTCGGTGTCGAGAACCCGGATATTCATCTTGACGAGTCAGACCCTGCTTTCGCCCTCTTCGCCGACTCCCCAGCCAGGAACTCGTCGTCAGACTCCCCTGTGGACTTCCCTTGCACCATCCGATCTGAAAAGTCAACGCCTGCATTTGAGCTGGTGGTCGAGAATGAGTCCAAGGCCACTGCAGACCGCTTTGTCGTTCTTTGCAACAATATGGAGGCAGCCTTCCAACGCGTCTCTTTGATGACCTCCCATCTTTCATGATTCCCCCACGCCGCGCGGCCGAGCATTTGTGATACCTATAGGATTTGTAAATTCCATTCTTGATATTTGTACTGATTTGGGCTCGTGAGCATCAATCTCCTGTGAGGATACATACTCCCCCTCTTTCCTTTGTTCATGGCATTTGACTGTACATCTGCGCCCTGCATCTCCTTCGTCTTCTCTCTCTTTATCTCTCGTTCGATTGTCAATTCTGGGTTATTGGAGTCTCTGGTGTATTGAAGGGACAGGTCTCGCTTCTGTTTGGGAAGGGAATAGGAATTGGACGCCGGGTCCATTAGCCATTAGGAACCGACATTAGCTTTAAGTCGAATAAGATCAAAAGTCAGAATAAACTGCAGCTATTCAAAAGAATTATTAAACACAAGAACTGAGTATTTCAATCGGTGGATGTAGTCTATGCCTCCGCCTCCACTGTCAAAACACGCCAAGATTCTTCGGGCGGAGGCAAAACAAAATCAAATTGTTCTGGATGACTTCAGCAGCTCCGATACACTGACTCACAAACAGAGTCACTCATACAGGAAGACAGTCCCTGAATTCCGGATTCAACCCTGCATAGCTCTCTATTGACTAATTCTTGGATTCTGCGATGATTGCGCAGTGCCATCCATTCCTTCGGTGAAAGCTTTTCAGCAGCCAAATTGGCTTCCCTTCTTTTTTCCGGGAGGCTATTCACCAAAGCCTTTCGCCTGGCTCCGTCGCCAGCAGGCTCTTCTTGCTTCTCCAGAGCTGCGTCGTACCTCAAGTCGCGTCACCGGGTCTACGAAGGTACATCTGGGCCTCCCAAACCGTCAGTCTATCGTCCGTTCAAGGCTCTTCGAACACGCGACCATCGCCGCGATATCAATCCAGACGCCTACCTTCTCAGAGCGCCCAAACTCGAATTCAGACGAGGGAAAACCTACATTTTATACAGCCCTGCCTCGCGCCAGGACTCCGGCTTCGACTCTACACCTACTTCCCCTGTGGGAAACAAACCAATGAAGTTCTACTACCAGGTGCTGACGACGCCGACGGCCGATACGCCGGGCACGACCGTCGTCCTACATTTCCCGGACAAGCGGTATTTCTTTGGGCAGATCTCGGAGGGGACCCAGCGGGCCTGTACCGAGCGTGGTGTCAAGCTATCCTATCTTACGGATATTTTTCTGACGGGGCGGACGGAATGGGCGAATAATGGCGGGTTGATTGGTGTGATTCTCACTCTGGCGGATGGGCTGGCGAGCGCCGCGAATGCGCTGGAGCTTACTGCGCGTGAGAAAGAGGCCAAGGGCCGTGGTGGTCAGCATGTTAAACAACAGTCGCAGCAGCAGGACGGGCAGGCTGACAGAGGCACGTTGACGATCCATGGTGGCCGGAACCTGACGCACACCCTGGCCACTGCGCGGAGATTTGTTTTCCGCAAGGGGATGCCGGTTTTCACGAGGGAGTACGACTCGGAGGGTCTGTCCAAGGCTGGCTCTCAGGCACGCGCCGCTGATCCGTTTGAGCAGCCGACGTGGTCGGACAGGAACATCAAAGTGTGGGCCATTCCCATTCGACCCTCGCCGTCGCAGCGGTCGAGAAGGACATCGCCTCAAGCCGGGCCTCAGAGTCCGAGAAAAAGGAGCTTGGACGAGTTCCAGGAGCGCGACGCTGACAAGCCTGCTCTGGACCAGCGGGCTCGGGACCAGATTATGAGGCAATCCGTCATCTCCGACATGTTTAACTCGTCGTGGAGGATGGATGCTCTCGTCGAGACTCCTCTGGCAGAAGTCAAAATGCCTGCGGTCATGTTCGTCCGGGACCCGGAAACCAAAGACCTCAAGCCGTACCATGGCCCTGCTCCTGGAAGCGACAAGCCACTTCCTGACATCAAGGTGCTCGTGCGTCAACCCTGGCCTGGAGCCAGTGTGGAGAAACTGCCACCCACGACACGGTGCGATGAGGCGGTTTCTTATATCGTGCGCAACCACGATCTCAGAGGCAAGTTCGATCCACAAAAGGCGAAAGAGCTGAACGTTCGCGCCGGTCCCAACTATGCGCGCCTGACGAAGGGCGAGAATGTGCTGTCTGAGGATGGAAAGACTGTCACCCCCGATATGGTCTTGGGTCCCCCGCGGCTCGGGAAGGGGTTGGCCATCATTGATCTGCCTACCTCTGACTACGTGGATGATTTGGTTGACCGGCCGGAATGGAACTCGGCCTCTGTCACCACGGGACTAGAGGCCTTCCTGTGGATTCTAGGACCTGGTGTGGGCGACCATCCTCGCCTCCGCGAGTTTGTCGCTCGCATGTCGCACTGCAAACACACCGTCTCCAGTACGGATTACTGTCCCAACTACTTGGCACTGAGTAGCGTGGCAGGGTCCTCGATCCGGCTGGCTAGGTTGCGCGGCGAGAACTATCCCGTCCCGGTTCATGATAACAAGACCCTGCCGCAGCCAGGTACTCCTACGTGCGAATCAGAGACAACCAAGGAAATGATCCGCAACTCGCCATTCGAACCGATCAAGCCCGGCCTGGTTATCGACATGGAACCCAAGTTCGAGCTTAACCGCTCAGAGGTCGTGCCATTGTTCAACCCTGCCGAGACCGTGCAGAAGATCCCTCGCTCCATCGAGCAGCGGGTGACTGCCATCCGTAGGCGGGTCATGAACCCCCAATTTCAAGAGAGACTGGCCGAGTTTCGTAATGGCCTTCCTGGGGCCAATGTGGAGATCGTAACTCTGGGAACTGGCTCGTCCTCGCCGTCCAAGTACCGCAACGTCTCCAGCACTCTCATCAATGTGCCTGGGGTGGGATCCTATCTGCTTGATTGTGGCGAGAACACCATCGGCCAGCTCAGGCGGATGTACGAACCGAAGAAGTTGCAAGAGGTGCTGCAGAACCTTCGGCTGATCTGGATCAGCCATCTGCACGCTGATCATCACCTTGGCACCGCCTCCGTCATCAAGGAATGGTTCCGTGCGAACTACCCGAACGGCGTGCCTCGAGCAGGCAATTTCGAGACCGACATGCGCAAGATTCTCCAAGAAAAGCGCCTATTTGTCGTGTCCGAGGAGATGATGATCGGCTGGCTCGAGGAGTATGCCGGCGTCGAGGACTACGGTTTTGGAAAGCTAGTGCCTCTGGCCGCCCACCCCAGCTACATCAACCCAGACACCAAGATCAAGACCAAATTCACGTACCGTCACTGTCGTGACGACGGCTCCTACCTCGGGTGGGAAGCCGACGGGAGCCGGCCTCAGACAACCACACTCGATTTCAACGACGATTCCTCCCCGTTGACTCCCCTCCTGCGTCAAGCGACCGGGCTCGCCGATATCCTCACAACAAGGGTCTCACACTGTCGTGGAGCCATGGCCGTCTCCCTCGTCTTCCCAGACGGTTTCAAGCTCTCCTTCTCCGGCGACTGCCGCCCCTCCGCCAACTTCGCCACCATCGGCCGCGACTCAACCGTGCTCATCCACGAAGCCACCTTCCAAGACGACATGGCCGTCTCCGCCGTCGCCAAGAAACACTCCACCACCTCCGAAGCCCTCGAAGTCGGCCGCATGATGCAAGCCCGCACCGTCGTCCTCACCCACTTCAGCCAGCGGTACCAAAAAGTCGCACACGTCGACCACGGCGCCGGCCCAGCAAAACCAGACCCCGAACCCAAACCCGCCCCATGGCCCGCGAGGACCTCGACGTGCCCGACGATGAGCCCGCGCCCGAACCCGAACCCTCCACCCTTGCCGTCACCCCCGCGGAAAACAAACCACCTCTCCAAGCCCCCGTCACCGCCGCCTTCGACTACATGCGCATCCGCGTCGGCGACATCCCCATCGCGCAGGCCTTCGCCCCCGCCATCGAGAAGCTGTTCGATATCCTCGAGCGCGCCTCGGCAGTCGAAGCAAACAAGCAGAAGAAAATTCGCGAAGCGGCCGACGCCCTGGCGAAAGAGAAGAAGCAAAAACAAAAGAAGAAGGGGGCGCCTGGGCCGGAGCCTGCGCCCTCTGCCACTCCCGCTGCCGGCGAGGCCATGGATATTGACCAGGGTCGGTCTGTGTGGAGCGCCAGCGAAAGCGAGAGCGGATGGGGCTCGAACGACGAGGAGTGGATGGATCGGTTTTGGCGTGGGAAGCGCAGTCGCAGTCGGAGTCATAGTAGGAGTAAGAGTCGGGGCGGACGGCACTCGAGCCCGAGTATTCGGACGAAGAGCGATGATGCTGTTTAGATTACAGTATTCCAGGTTGGTTGGAAAGTTGTGAGCGGATACATATAGAACAGACTTGGATCCGTAGCTCCGTTTCGTGCCATGTGTGCATGCATATACATAAGACTTTTTCGACGGTATTGGACAGCTAACGACAATATTACAAAACGTGCTATTCAAGTACATCCATTATTCCCAGTCTACTGGATTCAAGAAATGATTGCCCTCTATAAACTAGCCCCGAATGTTACTAGAACCCGGCAACAGCCTTCTCCGCATCGTCTTTGCCGTACAGCCCCTCCCCAAGATTCTGTACACACTCCTCCCTCCAGTTCTCGGGCGTGAACTTATCCACGATCTCCTTGAATGCATCGAGCGTGCAGAACGTCTCGTCGCCGGGGAGATGGTTCTCCGCTTTCGCCGCGCAGCCGGGAATCCGGACGGGGCGGTCATTGTATCGGATGCGCACGTAGTGGTTCTGCAGCGCCTGCCGTGTCGAGTTTGGCAGAGAGGAAAGCGGGGTGCGGTCCGTGTCGGACGAGGGCGCGACATCATGACCGGTGAGGTACGAGAGGAGGCCCCTTTGCTTGGCAGACGGGGAAGGTGACGACGGAGGTGGGTTCTCCGCACGGGAGAAGAGTTCAATGGCGATGGAAGAGGTGAAAGGCGGCCATCTGGCGTCAAAGGCGCCCACACTGCCTAGGATAGCGGCGAGAGTGGTATCGTGGCACCCGCTCATGGCGAACTTGATCGCCTTGCCGTTCTCCGCGGACGAGCCGGAGGCGGAGCGCTCACTGCGCCAGCCGCCGTTGGCAGCGGCGTTGACCATGCGGTCGACCACGTCGCCCATCAAGGCGCCGATCCCGAGTTTCCGGTATTCCCTGCTCTCCGTGTATCCGGCGAACCACTCGTCGACGGCGATGGTGTTGGTGTACTCGCGGGCTTTCTTGTCGTAGAACTCCGCGGGTAGTCTCGTGGCGGGCCGTGGGCGTCGGTCGCGTTGATCGTGTCTTGGATACCGGAGAGGCGGGGGTGGGAGTCGACGGCGATTTGGGGAGAGGCGTCCGGCATCCACTTAGACCAGACGCTGTTAAGGTAGTTCATTTGTTCGGATTCGTTCCCTGTAACGTTATCATTAGGTTCAGTTTCACCACTGATTTTGAAGCGAAAACGTACATCTTTTCGCGGCCCGATCAGCGAATAGCCGGGCCAATTGCCTGAATCGCCGGCAGTTACCCTCATTGGGATAGAGTGTCTCATCCGAGAAAGAGCGAGCAACAATCACCGGCGGAGGGAAGTCTTGCGTACGCGCACTGGCCGGGTACATGCCCCAAAAGGCTTGCTGGAGAGACTCGAGCGCTCGAGGGATAGGCGTGGCGCGAAGGTACATGTCTTCGGTATCCGATTTGATCTTTGGCATGAAACCGAGCTGATCGACATAAAGATGTCTCAGACGCTGACCCAGCTCAAACGTAGTCTCCCGCCCTCTATCTGTCAATTCACCATGTTGGCTGTAAAAGTCGCGAAGCGTATATCCAGTCAGCCATCAAGTCCTCACAACTACCAATTCGTCTCGGGAGTAAGTCAGGGAAGGGAACCTGCCAGATACCCTCTATGTCACCCGTCGCACCCACGGCAACAACCGACTCGTCTCTGTCACCGAAGGCTTCCATTTTTCTTCGCCATTGAAAGCCATTCCACGATGAGAGGTCTTTCTCGCTGGCTGCCATCTGGATCATCCGACGCGCGACATTGCAATACGGCCAATCTTTGAGTGGTCATCGAGTTAGGAACGAGCAGTAAGGCTGAGGGCGATCATAGATTCGGTGCAGGGGTCCTTACATGGCGCGAGGCCTGCCTTGGAGATGTCAGCTCGAGTCTCATGCATCAATTAAGGTCAGAAATGGCCATGTTACATACATTCTGGAATCGCGAGGAGACCGGCGTCCGTTCACCTTGAATAACCGTTCTTAGATCCAACTGCTTGGAGATAGTTCGACAGCGGGAAATATCGTACCGTGACGAAGGAACTACATTCTCGCTCAGTATGCTTGATTGACTCGGCCGGGGAAAACACGTTTTTATCTCATCACGTACCACCTGGACCAATTGAAGCTGAAGTTCCTTTGGATAGAGCTTCTCCAGCTCTTCCTTGGAGTAAGGCTCGCGGGGCACAAGAGTCGTCATTGGTAACACCTCACGTAGAACTGAAGAAGCAGACTGGTTATTATAACAATAAAAGAGGACTCTACATAAAAGGAGCCCAGAAGAATAGCAATTGGGCGCAAAAATTAATGCAGCACCTCGGGCTGAAAGAAAGTATCTTACGGTGACTCGAATGAGGCGTTTGATGACGCCAATGAGCGGTGCACAGGAAAGGGGCCAATCAGTGCAGTGCCGAGGATCACCTGTCGCTCTCATTAAGATCGACTGCCTTTAGCATCCTATTCCCTCTCTACAATTCCTGGAGTTTCCAGACACTGGCCTCGAGATATTCTTTCACTACGGACGAGGTCAAGTGAATCAGATTTAAATATAATTGAGCGAGTAGGTTGGCTATCTGCAATGACATACAGACGTGCTGCGCTTCTCGCAGCCAAAAATTCAGTTAGCATTAAGCAGCATCGCCATAATGCTTGCTATTCAATATGTCAATAGCTCCAGCGTGTTCGCTTCGTCAGATAATACTACCTCTTCTTCGCCCGTTTCGCTTCAGCCTCCCGCTTCATGGCTCTGAGACGGGCCCCCAATATTTGAATCAGCATATTGCCTGGAATTAGATGAAAGCTCAGACCCTGGAGGGAGTGAGGCCAATACGCCCAGACAACCGATTCGCCGCATCCGACACGATTCAAGGCCGCTGTAGCTAGGGTGCGAGAGCTTGGACTGAATAGGCCCACGGCCACATCATTTCCTTGACTATTAGTACTTCCCACTCGTAGCCCGAGAACTTCCACGTCTTTTCCGTCGAGCGTCATTTCGGCTTGCAGCGACCGGGTGAAGGATTCCACGAATCCCTTCGAGGCACTGTATATTGTGAGGGTCGGCATCACATAGGCTGCTGCCGAAGAGACAGTTAGAATGAGACTCGGGCTATTCTTCTCCAGGATAGGCATCAGGACGCGCGTGATTTGCGCCGTAAAAGTAGAATTAAGGCTGATGGTTGCTTGCACGTCTTCATGTGTGAGCTCGGCCAGCTGCTCGAACGGCTTCACTCCCCCTCCAGCATTGTTGACCAGAACGGTCAGACGGGCGTCACCAATCTCTTGTGCAATCCAACTGAGATCTTCAGAGCATTTAAACGCGTCGAAGACAATGATCCGAATCTTTGCGCTGGGGAACTCGGCCAGCAGCTCATCCCGTTTTCGTAGTAGTTTGTCGTGGTTCCGACCGTGTAGGAAGACATTGAATCCACGCTTGCAGAGTTCCTGGGCAAACCCGAAACCTATTCCATCGCTGGCGCCTGTCACTAGAGCCCAAGCATCTTTCCCAGGGGGGTTATAGCGCGAAAGACTGGAAGGTCGGAGGTAGCAGTAAAAATGGCGGGCGACTTGTACGGCAAGATAACAAATAGATGCAGCGCAAATATAAGTGTACGCGGTTTTCAGTTCCTCTGGTATTTGCAGCATTGTAGAGGATCGTTGGCGATGAGTTGCTTCTGGATGGGACGTCGCGTGTAGGCGCAAAGGGATTCAGTTTCAGCCCGAACTGGGCATGAGAGTTATATATATACCACTGGCGCTCGATTCCTGTCAGTTAGCGCTGGTCCATAAGAATCTAGTCGTTGAGATTAGAGCTGTGTGGAAGAAAGTCATAATCATTAGACTATATTTCTCCTACTTCGCCGTGGAGAGAAATAATCGGGCGGTCTTTGACGGCGCAATCGTGCGATGAGATCATTCATCACGGGATCGTGGCCGCGTCGACCATCGTGATGCGCAACTAGTCTCTTTTGCCAGGGCCGAGCATATCCGAGGGAGCGTCTTCTCATGATATTCCAAGCATGGTGGGCGAGGAAGTTGGAGTATAGCAATTAGACTATCCGTCTGGGACTCTCTCAAGAAGATCCGGAGTGAAGCAGCTTGAGACTCTTTCTCTGCGAACACTCAACGCCAAGCCAACCTACCCCGGCTTATCTCCAGACCACACTACACCTTCACCTTTATCAACACACGACCTTCTCGCTGCCATTGAGATCCAAGGTATTGACAGCGCAGTTGTCTGTGTTGCATCATTCTTCCTTCTGCAATATCTTTATTGAGCTAGACGGTGTCCGTCCTCCGCAGGACCTTCCCCATTACGTTCTGGTTCACCCTGTTCTGCGCCTACTGGATAGTATACACCCTCACGTGGATGCAGTGTTTGGGCATACTGGATATTCAATATCAAAACACCCATTTTCTGATCAAAATTGCAGCGCGCCTCGCCATGAGGCTGAAGATCTGACCTTCGTTCGACATTCACTCATTGGCTTTGCCCTCCGTGTCGCATCTTGCACCCTCCAGTAGACCTTGGGTTACTGACCTGTGTTCTTCACTACCGTCGGCTTTTCTGAAGCCTCTTCACTTGGCATGGATGTAAGGAACCCTGCTCCTTGGCCAATTTCCTCGTCCAACTATGCTGGGCATCATAGGAAATGCCACGTTGACGATCCATTGTTTTGCTTGAAGCTTGTATCTCCGATAAAATTGACAACCCGTCGCAAATAATGAGTCTAATGCTGAGCTGACTTCTCTTGTCTCAGATTGCAAACCAGCATTTGGGGCCGCCAGTACAAGGCAAACCGGGCCATCTGGCCACGAATAAGCCTCGAGATGCTAAACCGCGCTTACTCTTGATGGGACTTCGCCGGTGAGCTATCCGCGTCTGAATGATGTTAGACATGTCGCTGACTTTACTCAGGAGCGGCAAGTCGTCCATCGCCAGCGTTGTCTTCCATAAGATGCCGCCAAATGAAACACTGTTTCTAGAATCGACGACCCGTATCCAGAAAGATTCAATTCAGTAAGTGTGCCCCTGCGCCACCGTACCTTGTTCTTACACGGTCTTAGCTCTTTCATGGACTTCCAAGTCTGGGATTTCCCTGGTCAGCTAGAGTACCTCGAGCCCTCATTTGACCTGGAAGATATTTTCGGCAGTCTAGGCGCGCTCGTATGGGTGATCGATGCCCAGGATGATTATCTAGACTCCGTTGCTCGGTTGAACCGGACCATTTTGACTGTTCAGCAATACTACCCGAACATCAATATCGAGGTCTTTATTCATAAAGTTGATGGGCTCTCAGACGAATATCGCACAGATACCTTTCAAGACATAGTTCAGCGCATCTCGGATGAATTAAGTGATGCCGGTTACGAAAACGCTCCGGTACACTACTATTTGACATCAATCTACGATTACTCGGTCTTCGAGGCTTTCAGCAAGGTGATCCAGAAGCTGATTCCAAATCTCTCCACATTGGAGAATCTGATCAACACGCTTGCGAATAATTGTGGTTTTGAGAAGACATACCTCTTCGACGTCCTGAGCAAAATCTACATTGCCTCTGACACTCGTCCCGTCGATATGTCATGTTACGAAATGTGCTCAGATTACATAGACGTGATTGTCGATGTCTCAGAGTTGTATTCCTGGGACCACCCAGACCGCAAGCCCAAGGGAGATCAGATACAAGAGGCGGAAAGTCATGTTGTCTTGCACGACGAGACCATGATACATTTGATGGAAATGAACAAGTGAGCTGTCTCCGGCATATCAATTGCTGAAAACTGTACTGACTGTTTAAGGTACCTATGTCTTGTCTCTGTGATTCGTAATCCTGAAGCGAAAGAGAAGAAGGGGCTTATTGACATGAACTGCCGTACGTTCCAAGAAGCGCTTAATGATGTGTTCTCAAGGAGCTGGGAGCAAGACCAGGATACAGATCAGGCAGACGAAGAGCAGACGCAGCCTCAACTGGTCGAGCAAGGACCAAGGAGCTGAGCACATGGAAAGCTACTTGAAACTTGACGAAACACTTCGTACTGGTCTAAGTCTCCGAAGGCAGAGGTGATTGGGCTGTGGCCCTATGGAAGATTTCTCTCTGTCGAAACCACTGTTACTCATGATATCTTGATACCTACAATATTTCTGAATTCAAAAAACCAATTTGACCAAGCTAATAGACCGTATCTACGTCTATTAGAACAGCAGCGGAGTAGGCATCAGGCACCAAGGCATCAACTACCACAGACCCACTTACCGAAATTTTCCCTTTTTCTGAGCTTTAAAAAAAGTTTCGATTCTCTTCTTCTTCTCTTCTCCCACTCACCAAGAAATAATTGGTACTGCAATTGCAAGAGCTATAGCATCAAGCATAATGTTGGCTTGATCCACTAACATCCCAGATCCAGCGTGTCCAACAACTTCAGACATCCCAAGGAACCGTTTAACTCACCATAACTGGTAAGTACATCTGCTTCGTTCTCACTCGCAACAGAATTCTTCTCCCCTCTCTTAAAATGATGAAAAACTTTTCCACATTCGCAGTTTCCACGCTAGCCGTCGCTAGAACCCATCTTAGACGTGCTCTGTGCGCATTTTCTTCCTTGGATGTCTGACATTTTTGACCACTTTTCTTCTGCTCTTGCAAGATTGAGTGTGAGCTTTTGCTGATTGATATTATCAGTTTCTAGGTCCTAGTTGTCAACGGCGTCTAACCTTTTGAGATTTAATGGTAAATGGTGGTAACGAAGATCAATTGTGGGCTGCGGTATAGTTTCTGGATACAAAGATTTCAGAGCAATAGCAAGTGGCTAGACGCGCATTTGTCGCAGGAGCTATAGGTGTCAATGATAATATGCGTCAATATTGTACAACTCTTCTTGCTTGGGATACTAGTTTTGTAAGGTGATGTGTCGCTCGATGAGTCGAGAGCTACATTGACGCAGTATGGTGAAGCGATATGAAAACAGACAGCAGTCTGTTCTTGTAGACATTATAGCTTAATGCTGAGCTGGCAGCTCTGCAACCAATTCGAGCTGCGTAACGGTTGCACATCGCGCTCCATAATGAATGTGAAACCGTCGCCTAGAGGTACCTGGCGGAGAAGTCGGAGACACGGTCTTGAAGCTATCTGTCCTCGGTTTTCTGGGCGAACTTACATGCAAGCTACACCAGCACAGAACAACCCGAATGCCATCCAGCATAGTCTAAACAACAACAAAAACTATGTCCGAACTCCGCCAAAGACAAGTCCCCAGCAATCTCCCTCGACAACGGACAAACCCACAAAATCAGCATCGCCGCGACGAACCAGCAATGATGGCGGAATCAGCGTCGCCGACATCATCCGCGTGCTGCTCACGCTGGTCGTAGCATCCTGCGGGCTGTCCTACTACATGACCGGCGAGTCTGTTCTCTGGGGTTACAGGCCGTGGTTCACAAGATGGCCAGTCTTGGTCCAGTACATTGTAAGTCAGCCCCAGCCCCAAGCTCTTGGCTGTCCTCGTCGCCATACTCGACGCTGATGTTAACAACGCAAAGAAAGGACCCGTCTACCTAACACCGGACCAACTCGCCCTCTACAACGGCACCGACCCCTCCCTCCCCATCTACGTCGCCGTCAACGGCACCATCTTCGACGTCTCCGCCAACCCGCTCGTCTACGGCCCCGGCGGCGGCTACAACTTCTTCGCAGGCCGGGATGCAACCCGTGCGTTTGTGACGGGCTGCTTCCAGGAGGACCTCACGCACGATCTTACGGGGGTGGAGGAGATGTTCATCCCCCTTGAAAACGAGGAGGAAGACAGGAAGCTGAGCAGTGGGGAGAGGAAGATCCGGCGGGAGCAGGACAGGAGGGTGGCGCTGGGCAAGGTGCGCAAGCAGGTGGCTCACTGGGAGAACTTCTTCCGTAACCACAAGAAGTACTTTGAGGTGGGGAAGGTGGTGGGATTGGAGGATTTGCCCAGGGAGAAGAGGGAGCTTTGTAAGGCTGCGAAGCAGCAGCGGCCGAAAAAGAGGGATGTGGTGGGTTGATATTATGGCAAAGCTGGCGTGTATGATGGTTACGATCAGGCTATAATATCTACGAATCGGTAAAGCAAAGTTGGAACAGATTTTGTGAGATCCGATTCAGTCAAATTTACTTGACATATGCAGCAGCGCGTGCTTTCACACCAGAATACATCATTCGCCCAGCCAGACTTTCCGAATTTTATAGTGATATCATTCGTAGCATAAAAAAAGGACCGCGAGAAATGTTCGTAGGAAATCGTTTACTCAGCGGTAACGGCACGGGCTGTAAGCATGTAGTTAGCATTGCCATCCAACAACCACAATCAGTCCTACTGAATTGCAAGCAGTGCGGGCACATACTGTAGATGGTCATCTTGGAGTGGCCAACGACCTTCTTGATCTGTCCCTTCTCCTCAAGATCAGCGAGGGCCCTGCGGGCCAAGCTGCCGTTGATCTTCAGACGGTCGACAAGGGTGGCGACGGTGATGAGGCGGTAGGACTGGACATCCTTCTGGAGTCTCTCGGCGGTCTGCTTCTCAAGGACGACGGCGTGCTGGGCCTTGTCCTTGACTGTACGGTGAAATCAAGTCAGCATTCGTTCGTCTGGCCCTAAGTCTCGTTGAATCCGAAAAGTGACAAGCCCTTCTCCCCGACGAAAAAGGAACCGATGTGGTATGTTCATTTTTAAGTGGAAAGATGATCGCTCGTTTCAACGGTGCTAGGTGAGACGATGATGGGAAGACGATGGGAATTGCGTACCCTTGCCCTTGGACCACTTCTTCTTTTGCTTTCCTGCGCCGGCGGCCTTCAAAATAATGTTAGTATCGCCTCACATTCTTCATAACCTTAATGGGACAAGGCGCCTCCAAAACGTACCATTTTGACTGTCTGATGCGGATGTTCGACGGAAGAGCTGCACAGAACGTCGGCCAGAAGTTTGAATACCCAAGTGCGAAATTGAGTGGGGGATGACTCAGCGTCACGTGGCACTGAACCCTAAGCCCTCTCGCTGATGTTGGCTCGGTTAGCATGGCCCCTTCTCCGCAATGTGATTGGCCAGTGGGAAGTATATCCAGGATAGATGGATGGGGCTTCAATAGCTGAGCAGGTGATGGCTATCTTGATCCCTCTTCCTTGGTTTTCTTTATGGGTAAAACATCTATGGTCTGTAGACTAGAACACTTGATCATAAGAATTCATTAGTCATCATAATTATCCAACAATAGCCCAACTGAATTCAGCATCATCTGCTCGTGTTCGAGCAACGATTATTTGAGGACTTGTTATTCACGCTGTAAGCTACTTTAAAATGCTGAGCGCCGTCCTCCAACTCGAAATGGCCAAGGACGTATTCTTCGAGCGTTCCGAACCATAAAGCTAGCACGTCGTCTTGACTTGAAGGCAACCATCTTACGTCGTATCTTCCACCTTCACTTCGCGAAATCGGGATTGGGATGATTGACGGGTGTCTGTCAAGCGACCAATATCGGACAGCGGGGACAAGGCTATTAGATGTAGTTACAAGGAACTCGGTCCTCGAAGGGTGCCATACGATTTGTCGGACCGCATGGTCATGAAGTAGAACTGAGACGAGACCGGGCTCTGTTTTCAAATCCCAGACCCAGACAACATTGGGTCGCGTCTGATCGACTGTACTGAGAAAAGCACCGTTGGCACTGAACGCCATAATTGATGCGCCCCGAGGTGGACCGCTTGACTCCGAAATCATGCTAAAGGCAGAAGATGCTGGCAACTCGGTGTATCCAAGACTCCCATCTGCCGTCACAGATCTCTCGTGCCAGGCACTTAGCGAGGGCTGATCCATTGGGAATGCATGTGAGAGCGTCATGGAGCAAGAAAACTGTACCAGTCATTAGGATTACTCGTAATACACGATGACAGGCCTCCAGCAAACAAAAGAGCTCAGAGGACAATGACTTACCGTCTTGGTATTCAGAATGTCTATCGTTCCATCGACTTTTCCGACCGCTAACAGGTCCGAAATATCGCCTTGGCTAACCGCTGGGCTCCATTCTATGCTTCTCACCCCGAGGTCAAAAGCACTTTCCGATTCAGGCGAGCCATTATAGGTTCTAAAAAGGTTTCCATCTGCTGTATATATTAAGAGTTTGGTACCCGCACTTGCCGCATCCCAGACGGCGATCCAGTTTCCATTGGGGCTCCATTTCAAGCCCTGAGCATCCGACGTCGGCAGGTTGACTCGATTAACAAGCTCATAAGACCGATATTCATGGATGGTCAACAAGTCGGACGTTTCTGGCTTCAGTAGGATTGCCAACTGTCGTGTTCGCGGTCGAAAGCCAAAGCCGTTTAAATGTGAGAACTTTGGAGATTTGATAACCTGGCTTCGACCACTGTCCAGCGAATGGATCGTTAACTTTGTGTTCCACGCATGGAATACAATAATCTCGTTGTCGTCGGCTCCAAAGTCAATATTCAGAGCACCGGATTCGATGTTTTCGATCTCAGCGTGCAGCTGCAGGGGATGAAGGTCCCAGACCAGAATACGGGTATCACTAGCACAGAGGATACGTCGTCCTGCGCTCTCTTCTTCGCTGCTGGTGGTATCTGACTGAGCGAGTTGTTTTGGCCGCGAAAATCTCAAAAACCTAGTCGGTGTCTCTTTGAGCTTAACAATTTCTACCTCCTTAAAGTCCGAAGACAAGGGATTGAGGTGAATGATGAGGTCTTTGCCATTGAGTTGAGCTGCAAAAGCTCCGTCTTCCGATAGAAAAGCTGCCGATGAACCTGCCATCCTGTTATGAAGCTGTCTGATTTCGTGGTATGTGAGCATTGGACTCACCTGCAACTACTGTGGAGTCCATTATTGTTCGTTTCAAACGTATAACATGCAGCCAGATAGATTTGTCAAACCTGCGGCGAGTTGTCGGGAGTACATAAGGCAACTGCTACTTATACATGTCTCTTCACGAGCTATACCACTTTTTCAAAATGTTACGGAAGAAATCCCAGTTGACTCTTTCTGTCTTTCATTGTCTGTTTCGGAGAATAAACACCGCCAAGCTTCAGTTTCGGATTATATAAGCCGGTATAGATAACGTTAACTATTGAACTACCGTTTGCTTTGGAGATTATTTCTAGCCACAGCGTCATTTTCAGTGAATTCCCGGGCCCTTGCTATCGAGCTCGTCCAATGACAGAGTTATTAAGTGACGACCTCAATAACCATCGGTTGTTTAAGAAACTTCTCGATTCTACTCCGTACTCATGGCAAATGGCGAACACTGGCGATGGTCAGTGATAAGATAAGACCCGCTCTGTTGTTTTTCCGTTCCGGATAATCGCCGCTCAGAAAAAAAAGCGCAGTGTTGATTAGACTGGCCTGGAAGCCACAAACGAAGTCAGGCTCTTCTTGATATCTGTTTCTCCTCTATCAGCCACTATAGGGACTGTGCGCTTTGTTACCCCGCTGCTGGGGCCATCATCCTTTAGCCTGCGACGTCCATTCTTTGCAAAAATGGCAGTGTTAGAGACGCAGCCTGTTCCGCAAAAAGCGCCTGAGAGCGCAAGTGCGGAGCCGCGGAAGAAGCTATTCGGCAGAGAGTTCTATGAGAGCATAGGAAGTCCCAAGTATATTGTGGCGCCTATGGTCGACAGATCCGAATTTGTAAGGCCCACGCCTCTCCTATCAGCGCATCCGGACTAACGATCCATCTCCCAGGCCTGGCGCATGCTGACTCGTTCGTTCATGCCACCCGATGACCCGAAACCAATTCTCGCCTACTCCCCCATGTATCATGCGCGTTTGTTCCGAGAGCAAGCCAATGTCCGCTGGCAACATTTCCAGCCTACCCGAGCCGGTCTCGACAAGAATGACAATTCTCTCTACCTTGACGGCAACCCGGCTTTTGACAGACCGCTTTTCGTACAGTTTTGCGCCAATGATCCCGATGATTTTCTAGAAGCTGCCCAACACGTTGCGCCCTATTGCGACGCTGTCGATCTCAATCTTGGATGCCCTCAAGGTATTGCGCGGAAGGGCCATTACGGAGCGTTTCTCCAAGAGGACTGGGACTTGATCTACAAACTGATCAACCGACTGCATAAGGAGCTTCCCATCCCCGTTACAGCCAAGTTCCGCATACAGGAGTCGAAAGAGAAGACGCTGGACTATGCGAAAATGATCTTGTCTGCCGGAGCTAGCATAATCACACTTCACGGACGCACAAGGGAGCAAAAGGGTCACAACACAGGCTTGGCAGACTGGAGCTACATTCGATATCTGCGCGACAATTTACCGCCAGAGACGGTCATCTTCGCAAATGGGAACAATCTGAACCATGATGATCTGGAACGTTGTCTTGAGGCAACAGGCGCGGACGGTGTAATGAGCGCGGAGGGTAACCTGTCCGATCCGGCCATTTTCAGCAAACCTCCCCCGTTGGTAGTGAAGGACGCCAGTATTGGAGGGGTAGAAACGGAAAGGGTGGATACCGTATCGACGCTATCTTCCGCCGATACTTGGACATCATCTATCAATATGTCCTGGAAGTCCCAGTTCCAGAGCGGAAACCTCTCTATCTTCCTTCAGATCCCAAAGAGCCCGAGCAGGTGTCATCTACAGGGCCAGGGGAAGCGGAGGCTGAGGATGGCCCTCCGAAAAAGAAGCAAAAACGGGATAAGGCGAAGAGACCGAATTCTCCCAGTCTCGGAGTGATGCAAGGACATCTTTTCCAGATCCTGCGCCCAATGGTCTCGAAGCACACGAATGTACGAGATGCGCTTGCAAGGTCCAGACCAGGTGATATGGCAGCGTTCGAGCACACTCTCTTCCTCGTCGAACAAGCAGTCAAGGAAGGTCTCGATGAATACGAACAATATCCAGAGCGTTTCGAAGTGGCTCCTAATGCGGATTTGAAAGGCTCCAAGGCAACAATCGCCGAATATGGCAGACCCTGGTGGGTTTGTCAACCTCACATTCGACCTTTGCCGGAGGAAGCCATGGAAAATGGAGCCCTGAGGCCGAAGAAAAAGGAACTCACAGAGGAAGACAAAGCTCAGAAAGACGGTTCGTCAGAACAAAAGTTGACCTCGAACTCCAAAGCCGACTCAGTTGAAGCTGCAACCCCGGGCACAGCGACACCGGATCGTCTGGTCAGTGGTTAGTTCAATGGCTTCTTAATCCTGGAGCCTCAATCCAGCACATGTATATTGGCCTTCATCCGCCATGACACATGTCGTGGTCATGATATCACGGTAAATAGATTTCACGATTTTGCATAGCGTTTTGTGTCATTTGCATCTCTCGAATAGACACTTTGTCGTTCGAGCCATGTCTAATCAATGCATTCCATACTCCTCAGACATAGATGTTTCATGCTATCATAGCCATGCAACTGGTGTTCAACCATAGACCAAAATGAAACTCCTTGAACTCCAATCCCAGGCCAAACAACCAATAAAAATGAAGCTAGAAGTCCAACGCAAGTTGCGGAGCCATCTTTTCAAGATCCTCGACCTATGGCACACGTCAGTAAATCAATAAGGCATTTTCCCGCGGGTCCAATGCAATTGAGAGCGGTATCATACCTCTAAAAACCCATCTCCAATTGATATCCCCCCGGACGATCAGCCAACCCCTCAGCCCTCTCATACGCCGCTCTAGCCAACGCCTCCCTCACAAAGACATCCACATACTTGGCCACAACCTCATTCGCATCCTTCGCAATCTTAGTCTTCTCGCTCTTGAAATGATGGTGTAATAACCTGGTGAGCAATTTCGGCGGGATAGCAGGCTCGCTCGACATCACATCATCCGCCTCATCGTTATTCGTGATCTCCGCTAGAATGTAATCTGGTTCCTCAGAGGGCGATCTCTCGCGCTCTTGGCTGCCAGAGTCCGAGCCCTCAGATCCAGACTGCGCTTCGGAGCCTGAGTCCGAAACCGCAGCGCTAGGTCGTGCGGGAGCTTTCTGACGAGAAGAAGAGGCTGATGTAGAACCGGCGGTGGGCTTGCGCGTGCTCTTCGACGAGGAGGCTGTTGCGTTGGCTGTGTTCTTGGCGGCTTTGGAGGGGGTTTGGCTTTGCTTGATGATGCTGATGCTGAGGTCGAGGGCCCCGCGGTGGTGATGGTATCTCGCGGTCGTGGGGGGTTGAAGGGGAGACGCCGGCGCTTTTGGGCGCCTTGCCGTTCGGGAGGCATTTTATAGAACACTTGAGCGCTGGATCAAGTGCTTTTTCACTGGTAGTATGCGTATAATTCGTGATCTGGACCCTGGCATCAGACACGGAGAGGCCGAAGAGACGAGTCGCGGCCGAAACGCGAAGTCACGTGGTTCATATTATCTGTAGCCTTTCGCTCTTTGCACCGTCTTGGATGCCGTCATTGGTGTTTGTTTGTGGTTTTATATGCTCGAGGCACTTAAATTCATTACTTGCAACCTATGAACACAAGAGTTAAGTGGTCGTAATACTCTGTCGTGGGAATTTGTATGTGATCTCATTCTCCGTTAATACTCCATAGCATAAATATAGAACTAGGTACAGAGTACAACTCTAGCTTCACGATGCGATGCTGACAGCGTGCACTCTTATTCAAAATACATAATGCGTTCATCTCACTCTATACAAAAGCCCTATCAGCAAGAAAGCCATCATTCCCCATGAGGCCGAACCACAGTAACCTCCAGCGCAGCATCTTCCAAAACCCTCCGCGAGCGTTCCCAAGGAACCCTAAATAAACCAGCATTGAACCGACAAGACCACAACTGCCCGATCGACCCTTCTTCAGAAGACTGACCCGTCTGTAATTCCACAAGCTGCCTCTTCATATCCGTCACAGCAAGCTCGGTATTCCTGATGACGACGTCCGGGGGACTGACGGCCCGCCCAAAGCCGCGGGATGTGAATAAACAAATGATCCAGTGTTTCTTGCCGTTCGCCTCGGAGTCTCTTTTCTGAGGAGGGATGATCAATGCAGTGCCCTCTGGTAGTCGTACGCCTCGAGATCTTCTTGCATGGGACTCTTCGCTCTGCGCCGCAGGCTCAGGCCTGTACCTTGGGCTGGACAGGAGATTCTGGCAATGAGAACGGTAGATCGCAAAGGCAGCTGGATACTATTTTACAAGGTAAGATTACTGGAAGACCTCAAGAAGAGATCCAACTCATGGTGCTGGGTTACCTTGTCTTTGAAACCCTCTGCGATGCCCTTGCCCCAAGACCCTTGGCAATTGCAGGCGTCTGTCTAGCAAATCAGTCACTGTGACGCACTGGGATCATGGATCAAGGGCTTTGCTCACGGATTAGAGCTGCACCATCTGGAGCATGGAAAAGGTCGCCCTCAATCTCTGTTATTTTGCTTTGTACTGTAGGTAGACCCATTGTGGTTGAGACTCGAGAATACGATGCCTTTTGGAAGCGAATGGTAGAAGAGACCTTAACTCGAGGTTAGTGGCGTAGGGTGTAGGGATCAAGTGAATATAAGCAGGTATCGTCGACTGTGCTTGTAAGAATTCAATTCACACCATATTGCCTTTACTTAAAAAGAAGTGAGAGAAGCCAAGTGATGAGTCACTAATGAAAAGGTGCTAACCAGAACACGAGCCTAACTGTGCCATTACACGCCTAGCAAGGAACAGCCTACAACGCATGAAGTATGTAGTTAGAGCCCTAATGAACTAGCTACAAGTGTCTTCAGACTTCCTCGTACCGCTTCGCACTGCGTTCATTTAACATCGCTAGGAATACCCAATTTCCCAAGAAAAGTAAACAATATAGCCATCACCATTACCGATCAAAGCCGCAGGAAAGAATGGACAGTTGGAATAAGGCAGATTTTGATGAACATCGCCTACAGATCCGAGGTCTGAGCGGCGGGGTAAACGAAGTCTCGCATGCTCTTAGACTTTCTGACTGTGTTAGATTCCCCTTCAGTGGAGACATTCCTTCTTCCGGCATCGTGACAATCTCGCCGACGCGGATCGAATCCAGGAGTCCAAGAGGAAGTAGTTGCCACAGACAAGGGCGCACTAGTGGTGCTGTTCGATTTCATCCTTCGCCTCATCGACCGTGAGATACTCCTGAGTATCCCTGCATCCTGGTCTTCGGCGTGGCCTTCTAGCCGGGCGATTTCCCCCATCATAGTCACTCCGTTTGTTGCGAAGTTCTCTTCAGATATTGGGATGTACAAGACAACACCCCTGCTCGGCGCGACATGAAGGAGGTCCTGAAGCGCTGCTTGAATAAGTATTGTGTTTCGTAGGTTGGTAATCGGCGCGATGAGATATGGCAAGGCGAAGACTTTCATCAAATACGCAGGAAGTGCGGAGTTGCCAAAATAGAGACACGCATCTTGCTGAATAGTGACCATCATGAATGCATCAGGCTTCTGATAGATTTGAGCCAAACGGCTAGTCAGGTCAGAGGCAAGCTTGGAATCGTCATAACTAATCTAAAACAAGGGGGTTAGCGCAGATAACGACCATGAACCTATGATTGACACACCCTCGAGTTCGTCTTGATTTCGACCACAACGACGGAATCATTACTGATGCGAGTCCTTGGGGAAATAAGCGGGCCACGAGTGTTGAACAGGTCTTCGAAGTAGCGACTTTTCGTCTGAGGTGACTGCTCGTCATCAGCGCTCCTGTGCGCGACGTGGACCGATTGAGCATCCGGAAAAACGCCATGCTTCAGATCAGGGGCAACAGTGTCATCTTCCTCTTTATCCTCGAAGAACATGGACGGCTTGATTGCAGCTCTTTCCAATTTGTTCTTTTGTTTCAAAGTCTCTTCCGGGACCGTTTTGTTCGTCAACGCTTGGAACATTGCGGGGGATTGGAGCACCGGTACAGTTGGAGAAAGGCTAGTGGACGAAGTGGTCGAGTAGTTGTGGCGTCTCCTCAGGAACGAGAGATCCATCCTAGCAAATAATCATCAGATACATTCTTAGAGTACCTGTTCGACTTGAAACTGACCTCATTGAATTCCTTGTACGGACTCTCCACCCGCCTGAGCTTGAACTTGAGTCCATGGCTGATGATCGCTGGTAAGCTGAGGAAGAGAGAGAAGCAAAGAAAAACTACACACACAGAACTTCCTTCCTTCCGGCTTCGAATCGTCTGGCTTGACTTGGAGCACCTTCCCGCAATTGAGTGCGGGATAAGGAAAGCTCATTTACACTTTTACACGGCAGGAAGCAAACACTCAAGGACGACGAATGGAGGAAAAGAACCAAAGACTACCAGGTCCACCAGACATAGTACAATTCACAAGATGGTAAGGTACCTATCGCCATGCAGAGTATTGATACACTGGAAGGAACTGGAAATCATGCTTGCTTGGGCGTTTCCAACCCTAAGCCAGAAACCCCAGAAAATCGAAAGCAGAATTTCCACTCAGGAAGATCTTATCTGTCCTCCTTCTTTTGTCCCAGACGATTTCCCCGTCAGACTTGCGTTTAATATAGAGTATGCGATGCTGCGGAATGAACTCTTCGTCGGTCAGATCCTTCTTCCATGAGCTCAGGTTCGCCTCCAAACGTCCATTGAATCGGTCCTCGTATCCAATGGTGTAGTCGTTACTGTCAAATTTGGTGTCCCAAATGAGCCGGTTAATGACGTCTGTACCCAATCTTGTCAATCATTGCCGGCGCAAAGTGGTTTGAAAACACAATACCTGCCGCTGGCCGTAGTCTGTTCTCCGCCGAAGTTGAACTTTTTGACGTCGACGAGGCATAGTCATGCGATTCATTGGGCTCTGCGTGGGATATTGCAGTTGGCGATGAGCTTGAGATATCTTCAGTCTGTGCACTGGTTGCTGAATTGTTGCCAGTCTTATGTTCCTGAGATACTGCGGATAAATCAGGCGCCATGGTCAACAACGAATATTTGTAAAATTTCCAATCCCAATGTGGATGTTGATCTGTCTTTTGACACGGTTCGAGTTCGAACGGCACGCCCATCATACTTATACCCCTGAATAGGGTGTCATATTTTCACATTAAATTCATCTTGGGAAGTCGACCATCGATCTACAGTTTGTGTAACCGTTACAAACAGCGACTTCGGTACTTCCCTAATAGTACTGCAATAGCCCTCGATCCTGGCATTGTCTCGTGGCCTGATATGGGGCTAGCTGGTCTGGGGTTCAACGATGCGAAAGCGTTAGTTGCTTTCAGCCAATCCCAGCTTGGTTATTGCTTTGGATGAGTCAAAAGTGTGGCGCGGCATGCTCAATCATGAGTGTGACTTGCAATAAGGAAGTGACTCATTATGAGTGAAACGCTAAAACCCAGTTGGCAATCACTAACTAGCATGATGATGAGCCGGAAGCTTTGACGCATTATCCCAAAGCAACGCCCTGGGTTGATAGACGCGTTTAGATAGGACAAAAACCAAAAAGGAAAAAGAGAACAGAGCTCCGATAGGGGGAATCGAACCCCCGGCTGCCGTGTGAGAGACGGCGATGTTAGCCACTACACCATATCGGACTTTATTGGTTCAAATGGAACCACTTTTGCACCATGAGGCAGGTTGACACCCACTCCGCGACCTGCGGCCAACCAAGTGCTCTCTCGACTGCGATGCCGAGGTGGAAACAAAACACTACGGTTCCTTGGAGAAACACCACGCACTATTGTGGTCCTTGCATCGTCACCGCGAGTTTGTACGATAACGGACTTCCTATCGGAAGACGTCGCCTTATTTAAATCATAGCTCTGCAACGCAGACCAGCAAACGTCAAGTGCCGTCCCTCGCGTCTATATCGTCTCCTCCGCATTTCGCGCTTTTCGCGTCACTTGATCAGGTTCCCCGTCTCCCAGTACTGTCGAATGATTTCGCCTATGCCAGTATGAATGACGTGACAAACTCCTTGCTCACAGAGCATTTCAGCTATACACCCTTGGTTCGTCTTCGTCCACCGAGATCGTCTTGCGATTTGCAGTTGCGAACGTGAAATCTTGCCCTATCATGTGGCTAATTCTTCACAGTCTCTCATAGATGATATTATAAACTCGATCAACAATCTCATATATCAGGCTATTTCAAGCCTCGAGTCAGGCTTACTCGCCACTCCCCCGAACGCTTGGGCTTTGCGCATGCAAATAATGCCTCTACGATACCCGATACGGATGAAGACGGCAATGTTGTTTACCCGGAAGCCAAACTGGAACTCGAAAATGGACTACACCAGCTAGAAACGCTCCTCGAGGCGACAGTGGACAAGGCATTCGATAAATTCGAGATTTACGTCCTGCGCAACATCTTCACCGTGCCCGACGACTTGTTGAACTACATCAGATTGAGCCATCACGAGGTATGAAATCGTCGTTCGCGACTGCGTGCCTTGCCCCGCTTGAGCATGTGTTGACTTTCAGCTCATGCAGAACCTTGTCCTTGATCCTTCCCCGAATGCGCCTACTCCAGAAACGATCCATGCACTCCGCAAAAAGTTGAATGAGACCAAGAAATTGAACCGATCTTTGAAACGCGAGAGCGCTCAAAACGAGGCTGTAATCTCGCAGTTGCGATCCATATTGTCAACAGTACATGCACCCGATTTCGCGAAAGACACAAATGGAGAGGGCAAGGCAGGAACACTTCTGCCAAACCAAGAAAAGGACCTTGACCTTTCGTTCTTGAAGTCCAGTCCTGCTGCCCAGCAACTACGCGTTGGTGTTGATACTGGCGCGAGTACCCAGTATACACCGCTTACAACGAATACGACCTTCATTCTGTCCCAACTTCCTGCACTGCAGGCGATGTTGAAGCAGCTCCGGCCCAAGCTTATTTCTCTACCAAAGTCCAGCGATATCATGGAGAGCGACGCCAAGTTCGATGAAAGGAGGGAGTACATCGAAAGTAGAATCAAGCTGCATCTTGAGCGGACCGGACAGCTGCCCGTTGGAGCTAACGGCAGCCCGACGATTGTCGGACGGAGAATTGACATGGCAGAAGCACAAGCGCTCGAGTCTGTTACTGGTATGCTTACAAAAGATGAAAAGGAGGACTGATCACGCTGCTGTGGAGGAGAGTTGATGGTGACATCAAATCAACCCTATCTACTATCGACCATGTTACGCCATCCTACCGGCATCTCGTCCATAGATATCGGTTTTACGCACTGCAATTCGTCAGCTCTACGCGAATTCTCCCCAACAGGCATGTACCTGTCCCGTCCCACACAGACTGGGTCGTCCAGCAGAAGTGTTTCGCATCGCTCTCGGCGATACTATAATCAAATATCTCAGCAAAAGAGGCTGTGTTGACTTTCGATTGATGCCTGAAGCCGAGGTTCTCGGTTTAGAGCCTATGCTCGGCAGTGAACTAGCATAAGGATGCACACCTGACGCAAAGCGAACCCGAGAAGTCTGAAGTGCATGAAGTTTGGGTTGTTCCCTCAAAACTTAGATGTGTCGCACCGGCTACCGGTTGCACTGAATGAAGCAAAAGCTTCTGACGGGGAGCTGATTTTTACGACAGAGGACTAACTGGATGTCGAACTTCGCTTACAGAAACTTGTAACACGAATGTCCTTAATACTATTTCTGAGAGTCTAACAATAGGATGGTATTGTAATGTTTATCTAGTCGGACCAAACAGTATCTTGATGCCTTGATGCCTGGATACCTTGAGACTGGAGTAGACGGATATCCGCTAACCCAAAGCAGCGGTCATGTGAGCACAGGACTCCTTCTCGTAGCCCGCAGCTTGGCATCATCAACTCCCTCTGCAGCGACCACCGCGTTGGCCGATTGTCGTCAGTTCTACTCCGCTTTGTCGCAAGGTGCTTATTCGATGGACACCGGTATACTTGTGCTGTAGTGGCATAAGGCTCCGTGCAAGATCTTTTCATCGACTCTCCCTTGCCCGTCGTTGTCCGGTGCCGCCCTCCGCTCCCCACATGTCTCGCGCATCGGCTATACCAACGTCTATTCTCGGAGCCCGGCTTCCTTCTGTCATCCTTGAATCGGTGTCCCGATAAGTCGCGTACACTCAACACTGATTGTACTCGCGTCGCGGCGTTTGATTGTCGGCGACATGGCGACGGCAATTTCGAAACCTACCTCACATACCCCCAAGATGAAGCGGCCGCCCCCGCCTTTCGTCCCAGGTGGTGTTAATGGGGTCAAGCCTCAGCAGTCATCCTCCTCTTCCTCCCCACCCTCCACATCGAAACGTCTGCCTGGTTCTAATCAGCCGACTTCCTCACCCGCCACTAATGGTCTGGTCACGAATGGCATCAATGGCTCGGCCAATTCGAACTCCACCTCGACCAATAATTCGAACAGGGGTCTCCTCAACCGTCCCAAGAAAGATGCGCAGAAGCCGGGGATCAGGCGTTGCGAAGCCAGAAGCAACTGGGGAAGATATTGACAGCGGAAAGGGATTCCAGACTGGGGAAGATATGTCCTGAACCACAGGGTGAGGCGCCATCAGCTCCTGCAGTGTTGGGGCTTACGGGTTGCTGTTTACTAACGATTGCGACGCCGACAGTTAAAACAACTTCCTACATCCTGAGAAAATACTCTAAATGCCCTCCTTCTCTGATCGTACACCTTCACCCTACTCATTTCCGGTTTGAACAACAAGATGGCAGTTTTCCCTACAACTCCGAGATGAAGGTAGTCATCGAGCATATCCGTGCCGGTACTGTTCCCCATGACATGATGGAGGAGTTATTACGAGCCAACGTTCGATTCTACGAAGGTCAGGATTCCCTCCTATTTCATCATTGCGCAATTGTGGCCGCTAACGGGGGTTCTCTCATGCAGGTTGTCTCATAGTTAAGGTGGTGGATCACAAGTCAGTGTCGGCCCAAGCCAGAAAGTCGACTGCGCCGTCAACGAATGGGAACAACACACCTTTCTCGATCCATAACTACAATGAACACATCACTCCGTCGGCTTATGTGCCATATCCGAAGCAAAACCAGTTAGCCTCCGAGGCCGCTGTTACGAAGACAGATGCGGCTGCCGGCAGCCAGTCAGACGAGAAGGGCAAAGGAGAGCAAACAGGCGATTCGGACAGTTCTAACAAGGAGAATGAGTCGGATGCATTACAAAAGCAGACCCCGGCGAAGCCACGCGTGTTCACGACCGTCCTTCACCCTACTCCTCACTCGTTACAGGCGGAACTCACGTTACTTGCTACCACGCCTGATCCTCGTGCTGCGAAACAGTCCGCCACACACTCGAGCACCCGCCCGCAGCCCTCATCTTCCACAGCCCCGCAGTCTCCAGTGGTGGCTTCCAATCCACCGGACCGAGGCCATGCTGCAAAGCGACAGAAGATGCTAGTGGAACCGCAGGATCTATTGGAATGTGAATCTAAACTAACGCGAGCATTGGCACCGCCTCTTTTCTTGGATCCAGTGAACAGTCTGGAAGCAGCGCAAGACCTACTGAAATATTTGGAAAGTCCCCTTCATTGCGCTCCACCCCCGTCTCCGAAGAGAAGAAAGCGTACTGTGGCAGAGCTCGCTGCCGACGAAGCCCTCGCGGCGGAGGAGGAGCGTTTTATGCTCATCATGGACGAAAGATTGGAGCCGGCCACGTCAGGAGCTGCTGGTGGACCCAAATCCGCTGTTGACGACACCGGTGGTGGTGCGCCATTCGAACCGCGCTTCTCAAGGTTCAAGACACTGGAGAGTATCCGCATGCAGCATGAGGAGAAGGCCAAGCGGGAACACGAGGTCAAAGTTAAGCAAGAAATGGCCAAGCGACAGCAACAGGAACAAGAAAGAGAGAGGCGTCGGCTGTTGGAGCAGCGTCAAGCAGAGGAGCATGCCAAAGAGGAAGCTCGAAGGCAACATCTGGCCGCGCAACAGGCCCAGGCACAGCTTGCTGCACAGCAGCAGAACCGACATGTCATGACACAGGCAAACGGGGTCAGCCAGGCTCCCCAATCGTCACCAGTGGTTCGCAATCAGACACCTCTCAACGCCTCGTCACCACTGGTCGGCAGTACCATGGTCACACAAGCCGGTGTTCCCATGAGCATGACATCTTCTGCGCAGGGTGCAGGAAGCCCACCGCGACCCCGTCGGCCTTACAACACGGTCATCCGAATATGATGAGCCATCCAATGGCGCCCTCGAGAAGCCAGCAGGGTCAGAGTCGGCATGGCACTCCTCAGATGACTCAGGGAACACCTGCCATGTCTCATGCAACTCCGATCATGCGCAACGTCACGCCTACTCAGCGCATGAGCCACGGCAGCCCAAGCCAGTCGACTATGGCTCCAACACCGGTAATGAGCCAAGCCATGATGAACACCCCACAGATGGGAGGCGGTATGGGTCTTACGCCTCAACAACAGCAAATGATACTGCAGAGGCAGCAGTTACTCGCGCAACACGGACAACTCGGGCCCGCTCAGTTCACACCGCAGCAGCTTGCGCAATTGCAAGCGAACGCGCATGCTCAGCAAAACATTCAGTCACATCAGCAGCAGATGATGCAAGCTCAGCAGCAAAATCATCAGGCGCAGCAACAGAAGCTGGGGAATCAGCAAACGTATCAAGCTTCACTGCTGCGGAACCAGTGGACCCAGATGCAGATGGCTCAGCAGCAGCAGACGCAAGGCCAGCAGCCACAGGCTCAACAAGGCCAGGTCCATCAGGGCAGCCCGCAAATGACTCCTCAGCAGCAGCAGCAGATGATGATGGCGGCAGCTGCTCAGGCCAATGCTGGACACATGCCGCAGAATTTCCAGGGCGTCAATATGGCACAGCGGTACAGCCAACTCTACCAACAGCGCCTTTTACGTCTCCGGCAGGAGATGTCTACTCGATTTATGGCTCAATATGGGCCCCCAACGCAATATCCGCCCCATATTGCACAGCAGTATAGCATTGGACTCGAGCGGAGCGCCAAAGCCTGGGTGCAAGAGATTATACGGCGCGAACGTGAAGCGGCTCAGCAGCAACGTGCCTCGCAAGTGGCAGCTGTTCAGGCGCAGGTCATGCAGCAGCAACAACAGCAGAATATGATGCACAATGCCATGGGGAAGTAGTTTGATTTCTTTCTTTGTTACTCTTTCAGCGTTTCGGGATAGGCGATGGGCGATCTAATGAGATCTCTGGGTTTGTTATCGCCATGCATTTGAATCTACCTTCGTGTGGTCATCTATTGCCCCGAGATGGGCCTTTCAGAAGGCTACTCTTTTTTTTTTTTTTTTTTTTTTTTTTTTTTTTTCTTCGATTTGTTCTTATTTGCAGACTGTACAGGGACCGATGGAATATCGATAAAAGAGCCTGGCGTTTGACTCGATACTGGTTTGACATTTTGCGGGTTGTCCTTTCCATGCGCGCTTGGTGGTTGTATCATTTGGGAAAGGGCTTTGGGGAACTGAGAACAGACTTGATACCATTTGTACAGGATTTTCCATTGCTTGCGGGTTGCTACCAGGAGGCGCCTTTGATTGATATTTGATATGCTTGATAGTGAATATATCCAATGATTGGAGATATCATCTCGCCTCCCTTGTAGAACCTCTGCCGAAGCTTAGCACAGAACGGTAGGTTTGCCTTTGGAGAGGTCTCGTCTGTCCTAATATATAATTAACTTAGTGCTTGCGAATATCAAAGATGTGAGGAATACAGCAACGGGACTACTATGATAGTTTTCCCTCAGCATTTGTTCATACTCGACATTAGGCTAAGATATATCGAAGCCATATATCCATCCACAGCATCAGCATGTTATATATTAGCTCCATCATGTCTATGATATGTTCATTCCCAAGAGAGCACAGATGCTATAGATATGAAATCGCTTTCTCATGTACCATAATATTTATAATAGCTCTCTGCTCATCGTTTAACTTCTAGTCAAGGTCCTGAATGAGGGTGTTACATATTTCCAGGTTAGAGTATACAGCTCGAAGTCGACTGGCTATTATCACCTTCTCTAGACATATAGACCCCTAAGAGTTATCCTTCTGAGGCGATATAAACAATTCGATTCTAGTCTACAGTGCACTTGAGAGCCCTGGGATTCAACATCGCAACTTGCACTTAGGCACCACATCTCAGCAGGCAATGATCGATTCCTGACTAGTGTACCAAGTGGCCTACAGCCTACTCGCTTGCCTTCAGATGAAAGCTCCGTGTCGTAGAGCAGGACCGGAACCTGGACAGCGAGTCTGATCACCAAAACGGTCCCGCGCGAGAGACCACTACCGCTCGAGCCTCATCATTTGAATGCCAAATAGGTTCATTTGCAGATTACGGACTCGGTGAGGCTATGGCTACATGGGACGGCTTAGCTTGCATGAATCTCATACGACTGTAGCATTAGCATTAGCAATAGCACATAGAGCTGCTGGAGGCACGATATGATGGCTTCACTGGCTGGATTGTGAAATCAAATCAAGCCGTGAACGGTGACCCAGGAGCCCAGGAGCCCAGGTCGCAGAGCAAAGCAAAAGCACGACTGATTATCACACGAATACTACATCACCAGGTCCAATGCTACGCTATGGGTGTTTCTGGTTGTTCTAGACAAACGCCTGGGTATCTTGCGAAATGGCGATCTTCTTGTGGCCGGGTTCTTGTGCGACAGTGCTAATGCCAAAGCCAGGGAACCGGATGCCAGTTGGCGCCTTGGCTTGGGTGTGACTGTTCATGAAGTGTTGTTGCACGGTCGAACGAGAGCTGATTTGGATAAATGGGTTCAGTTTGTGGTTTAACGAGAGGTACAATGTGATAGAGGTCGCAGTCTAAGGCAACGAACAGTGGACGATCGGAAATCCTGGATCTGCGAGTAAACAGTTGGTGCTGATCATTTTAGTGAGGCGGGTAGGCGGTAAGAAGTGGGCGATAAACATACCAAGCGGAAGAGCAGTTTATCTGCACATTCCAACGCACCGCTCGGGTCCTCAGTACTTTGGAACCTCTTAATCAAGTTATCAACTGATTCTGAGACTGTTATACCCAGAGAGGTAGGAGACACCTGGAGAGGAGCTGTTGGCCAGTCGGCAGGAGTCATTGGCATGTTTAACAGGTGGTTAGGTACTGTTATGGTCAACTGAACAACTGAACAGTATCCAGTCGCATAGGTTGCGGCCTCGAACATGGATTGGTTCTTGGCCACGGTGAAGGATCAACAGCCTCGAACCCATACCCGAGACCGAAATTGATGTACAGTGCATGAGTCCTTCCCGATCCATCCGGACCAAAGAGCCAATAGTCCCGGGATGGTCGTACAGGCTGCAGGTCGACCGAGACGGTAATGGACGGATAAAATGACGTAATTTAGGAATGGATGGCATCGATAAGCGTCAGCCAGCAAGGCCATAATGCCATTATTATTCTCGGCCCTCCGAGTTCCCCAGAATGCTTCAGGGCCGTTGGAGGCAGGGACTTGCGGGCGTTGAAGGCACGAGTGGGCAGAAATCATTAGTGCGGATCACCCTTGGGGAACCTGTTTTGGGGGGTCAAAAAGCACTGCAGAGAGACAAAATAACCTGAGAGAAATAATCTTGCTTATGCAATGCAATGCAACTCAAAAATGAACGAGATTTATTGATTGTTTTGTGCTCATGCTATTGGTGGAAGAGAACAAGCTAGCTTAAATTCATTGATTGGACGCTTTGATCAGGCCAGAAGGAAAAAGCAAACACGCAAGGGGTTCGCACAAGATGGCTGGAACTTTGGCTTTTTTGAGATTGGACATTCCAACCCACTCGCATAGGACAAGATCGTACCCAAGAACTATAGGCCGTGCCCTGCATGAGCAGGTGATGAGACCGACATAGAACGAAGCACGGGAGACTGAACAGCAGGTGAGACAGACGCGAACCTTGCTGCTGTACCCTTCCATGGTTGTAGATCATGATTTGAATCGTGCCTTGGAAGGTTGGAACTTCGAAGAGAATATTCTCAGCGTTATGACTCTCATCTTTTTTGATCAAGGACCACACGCAGGGCCCATGCAGAGCCGGGACAGCCAGATTCGGCTTACTGAGATTGGGATCTTTTGAACCGTTTTGGGCGTTTTTAGGCGTACCTGCAGCGCGTTGACTCTCATCCTGCTCAATGCAGAAACTCGTGACTTGGAATCCAGGAGGATTTTCAGGCGAATCAATCCGTCAATAAAGAGTCAAAGACCTCCTAGAAGTCGAAAACGAAAACCTCCTGGAACACTCTTCCAAGGTCCCGTTGTTGGGCTTTCATGCATGGCACGCCAATCTATCTCTTCTCGCAAATCTATTGATTTGTACAGCAGGGAGAAATTGTCCGACGGTCGCTGGGTGGATGCAATTCTGTGGCTTGACCGACACTGTAGAGAGCCCCATTTCCCAAAACAGAAAGACTAGCGTCGCACAAACCAATACAAGCACCATAAGCTTAGTGGCGGTCAAGGGCGCAGATGCACTGACTGCTGATCCCGTTGTGTCAGAGGATCCCTTGTGTCAGAGCGTCCCCAGATGATCTCCATGATAATCAATATGGTTTGATGGTTTTCGATAACCAAGTTCAGTATCACCAAGGCTGGCTTGCAACGCCGCAGATTTGACCGCCTTCCAGAGGCGCAAGAGACACGCATTGCTCGCATCTCGACCGTTGACAACAGCACGGGCGCTTCTCTCCAAGTCTGTCCGATCAGTATCAAACTCGACACGATTTCCTCTACCTAACCAACAAAGGCGCATAACTATGCTGATCAGGTTTGAGAATTCGATAAGATGTACGACAGAACGTGTGTTACCTCCCCTTCCCCGCCATTCAATATATTGAAAGAATCGAGGGGGAGGTAGGACCAGGAATAGGTTTCACCATCGCGCCGGCGGGCCTCCTGGATGTGTGTAACGAATTCCCTCACCGCAGGAACCCTTGGGATGATCTGGTGATAATCAAATCTCCGGTCATCTCCTTACAGCAGACAGGCCCGTGCTGCAGGGGTTTGCAGCTTCGGCTGTTGGGAAAGATTCGAAAAGCGTAAAGGCAGATATCTCTTGCGATCGTCAACGTCCACAACCGCCGTTGCGATTATTGATACCATGTAGTGGCTCTGTAGAGTACAGATTCTTGTCCCGAATAATAGCCTGGAAATGGCACTTCATTGTCGTTTCTGAGGCAGTCTCGGGCAAGCATGATGATTGTCATTCCTGTGCCCTACCATAGTCAGTGAATGTCTCAAAAATCAATAGCTCTACTAGAAGATAAAGTTGAAACTATGGTACGCACTCAGCATTGAGTTTGAATAGACAGCCGCACTAGTCGAAAATCCGGGGTTACGGTCGATCCAAAGCGATCGGACGTGATGGTAATCTTCCTAAGGAGGTTACCAACGATTCGATCGCCATGGCTTAGAAGAATTTGGTCTTGATCCAGCATTGTAACAATCGTAGCCAGTGAGCTCATCTGGGAGAAGTTAATCCTTCCAAAACATCCACAGCTACAGATCGTGCCCTGTGCTGAGGACGAGAGATCGACTGGCTATTCCGGCTGGAGGGAACATTAGTGAGTAGCAATAGTGGTCCATGGCTAGCTTGGACGGGATCATCACAGCCACGAATGGATTGCTGCATGTCAGAAGCGCAAGTCTGACTCGCCGGGAAATAAGGACAGCTTCGACCAGGACGTGCTCCCGAAATCAACACAGGGTCTTTCTAGGCGGCAGCTCCAGATTCGATGCGCGAAGAAAACAGCTTCGTACAGCTATGAGTGTTGCGAAGGCCTAGGCTGCCTGAGCTTCAATGACACCTGGACTGAAGTCCGTAGTTCCTCAATAGTTGCGCATCGATTGTCAGTTCCACCGTGAACAACAAAACAGTTCCATCATTGTGTTCTGATGGAGTGCGGCTGAAGCTTACTGGAGCCACTGTGGCGAAGGTGGCTTGGTACTCTCCTTTTTGCCTTTCTGATTCACACCAAATTATTTACTGATGGACGTACCTCTCTAGCGCTGAGTGACTTACTGATGCTAACATCAACTGATTGCAAGAATGCCTGACACTTTCCCACCTTCAGCAGCAATACCTGTCTGTGTCTCATTCGCGAGCGCAGAGCTGAGCAGCCAAGAGTGAACACATACTTCATCCGATTGATATGCAGGTGACCTAATCAGGACAATGCACTTCAACCTTAGAGGATGGGAACTACGTACACAATGAGTATGACTACGAGGTATGGAGTAACTACCACTCAAGGTTCCAATCTGACAGGACGAACGGACCATCGGGTCCAGCCAGATAGGGGGTTGTCAAAACGGCCACACAGATGCTGGCCTTGGGTCACACAGGTACAAACTCTGTCATTTTAGCTGCCTGGGGACCAACTCAAGGCTCGTCTCTGTGTCCCCGGGGTTCGTTTTCGGAAAGACAAAGAATATAGCAGAAGAGGCGCTTGTCTGTCATATCGATGGACAGGACAGCCAATCCTCGGATTTTACAGAGCCACAACGACGCGCTAAAGTCGTGATTGTCACGTCAGGATTCACAATCAAAGCCGTGATCACTTCTCGGGATTGAGATTTGATTGAAGCCGATCGGGTGATTCCATTCGTTTTGCGCTTCTCCATCTCCCACCCCCCGGCGAATGTGACTGGGAACACCTGGCCGCATGAGAGACAGCTCCTGCTCAGTCGCAGATCTCTCGATCATCCAATGAATAACTATCTACATCAGATCGGTATCTCACGAGCCGATGGCTGCAGCGACCGTGAGCGATTTGGGCGAGCTGGGAAATATTTTCCTGACCCCATGGAATGCCCACGATGCAAAGAAGCTATACTCAGTGACGAAAAGAAGTAAACGTTCAATCAAGTGGCAACCAGCATAATCATGCAAATTATCGATATGGCGCCATCCACACCCGCCGAATTGGCTAATATCAGTTGACTTGTCGCGCTCGAGGCCGCAATTGAATAGAACCGTCTTCTGACTCGTGACATATCAGAAAAGCCAGCACAGCCACGATTGACCGAAAATAAGAGGCCTGCTGTTGAGATGTAAATAGTTCATGATGTCTACCGACGCAGTTTGTACTCCATCTGTACTATGGTGACCGTTGAGAATGAGGTCAGCTGGAGAGAATCCCAGCCAGTCATGCTGGAGCGACCGTCCCAATGTGGGGGAATAGAGGCCAAGAAGTGCTTAATCTCTTTCAGGTCACTGTACAAAGGATAGTTTCCGGACGGATGAGCATAATCATAGGTTACTGTACTGTACAAAAGACTCACTGCCAGTTGAGAATGGGAGTGGCTGTCTGTTGGATCGCTTTAGCCTATCATCTCGAGCAGATTTATTCCCCACATTCCACGGAGACAGACCCTGATAGGCCAGCTCTGTCCGAAGCGTTCCTGGATGAAGGGCCTGAGAGTGGCTGCTGGCATTTGCTGGTGAGAGAAGCCCGGGTGGCTTGCAAATTGTGATAGGTGCGGCTGGTCAGCCGGCGATGGATCATGGATGGGGACTGATTTTCAACCTGCAGAAAGCCTCAGTCTAGTGGCTGGCAACTCTCTGTCGATCCATTGTTGGGCGCAGGCTTAGGTTGGCGGATGATGTGCGTCTGATTAGTGACCTCAGTCCAGGCATCTCCATTATTGCAGTTGAGAACTGAAACAGAATGCTCATTCATGTAACCGAATCTCGAGTGGCTTTGGCCAAGAGGATGCGAATTCATATTTGGGACAATCTTTATCTTGGCTATGGAGCCATTCTCCTCATTCCTGATCTGAACGTTCTCTTGCTTCATGCAGCTAGACTTCTCCGTGGCGTACAGGGCTGAAACTCTCATACCCCGAAATCCCGGTGACAGGCCTGTTAACTTCATTAGTGGTAGGTGACTAATTGATCCAAAATTTCCTGGATTCTCGTCGAATAGTTCAAGCTCTCAGTGAGGCCTGTCTGGTTTTCAGGGTGATTTTTAATTTCGCCCCCGGTCACATTATTAAAAATTGAGGTTGCATGAACTCACGACGGTTCATCCGTTTGAGATCGGAACATCTCACGATAACAGAGTCATGGAGATCTTATCGGTGATGATGAACGACGTACAGCACCATCACGATGTGATGACATTTTGTCGGACTCGCGACCAGTGGAAGGGAAGGAAAAGGTTCACCATGTTGAGGGGAAAAAGCAACGTATCGAGGATCGTCGACGATCTGCAGTCGGGGCTAGGTTCGCACAGACCGCGATTGGGATTGTCAGCAAACACTAGGGTACAATGAAATCGTAGGTCTCATTATTATTTGTGGGGTTGATGTTCCTAATATTACCTGTCTCAGTCACTACCGTATAAACTATTACTACTACTTGTTATGTGCCTGGAAGTATGCAGGTTTGGCTTTACCTGTCCTGGTACCTGTAGCTGTATGTACTTTTTGCGGTAGCTAGAAGTACCAGGACGAGGTAAAGGTACTACTGCTGGTGAGCATACAGAACCTTGGAACAGCGAACAATGGAACTCCAATAGAACCAAATATCTGCCTCCTATACTCCGACTTATCCGTAAAGGTACCTGTTTATTTGAGTTTCAATTTCTACGACTGCCTTCATACAGCTTCCCTTACAGACACAGACTCCCTGCCTCCCCAGATGTGGACTGTATACAGTGTACCTAGTACCTTAGTATGGACCATAGTTACATCCGGAATTCCTCCTGATAAGCTGGAAAATGGCGGCAAATCCAATGGTAATCAGAACACAATCCGGTTTTAACAAATGCCCACCATGCATTAGAATTCCGGTGCAGATGGTCTAGATGGTGGCGCAATTACCAGCGGTCGATCGTTTGATCAATATGGGCTTTAGCCTATTCTGTGGCGCTGGGGTTCCAGATGTACAGTACAGAGTACCTGAACAGTGTCTCGCCGTCGGCAGTTGAACACGCCATTCCATTCGACTCGACTCAACCAAATGCTATCGTAAAATAGTATCTTTTTCGCCTCTTCATGACGATTCTGTTTCAGTCTGATCACGCATGCTGCTTCAGCGGCAATGAAACCGTGACGAAACTCGGGTTGGTCTGGAATGGTATGATGAAAGTGGTGGTACCTATGGGCGGACATAGTCCTAGACCAAACCAATCAATGATTAATTTTACCTGGATTCTGGAGGCGTAATCATCACCCCGAGGCATGTCTCATCGCTCCAGCGAAGCCTTTTCCACTTTAGGATCAGCAGGGCTGCCGATCGTTCAGGGTCCCAGCTAGTAGTAGATACCGTAATGCATTGACACGGCGATTTACAGGCGAGAGAAGAGTAATTTCTAATTACTTTCGATTAGCACGTATGAGGTGGGACATTAGGACGCGGACTTTGTGGATAGTACTTGCAACTTCCAAGGAGGCTTTTATTGATCGAAGAGGATCGCCGTGGATCATGGAGCCCTAGGGCACGGTAGTGCTCAGTAGGTCTCATAGGGATCAGTGCTGTTTTACCTTCGATAGCCTCGCTAAACCCCAAAACGACAAGTGCAGTACGTATATCTGTCTGGGGAAAAGCAGTAGGACTGACTCAGGCCATAAAGTCTAATGCTAAGCGGCTTTTGACTGGAGTACCTTACCTCTAAGGCAGTGGACGGGGGGCGCTACTATTAGCCTACTGCCCATCATGACGGATGAACTAAATTAGTGATGAACAGACATCCTCTAAAGACTTAGTTCCATAACAGTAGTACCTATCAAGCGTAGGATGCGCTCTGACGTCCCAACATTCCAGACAGCTCTCTCTTTCCATTCAACTGGCAACTTAAAATCCCGGACTTCAATTCCCGGAGAACTGATGAATGAAGCACAGTGTGGGAGTAAGAGGACACTAAATAATATTGGATCTAAATCAATCATGCACAGGGAATTCCAGCACGAAATTATCCAATCTCATGCCGATCCACTCACTTGATTGGGAAGATTGGAGGACCAGTGCTCTCTTTTCTCATATCATTATTGTTCATAGGTGGGTTGCAGAAAAGAAATTATGGGAATAAATAGTTGATCAAAACAGAAAAAAGAATACTCCGAAGACAAGAAACCTAACCCAGAAAATGATAATCGCATTCAGATAAAGGACTAATATTTAAAATAAAGATTGAAAGAGAAAAAAGAAAAGAAATAAAAAAAAAAGAAAATCAGGAAAAGCAAAGTGAGGGATAAATAGGGCGGCAGCAGGTTTACTAGGAGCAGCAATCGATTATTTCCTGCATAGAAAGGTAATATTACCTACAGGCACAGAGCAGCAACAAAGCTCTTTCTTCGTTTTCTTTTTTGATTGCTGCTACTGCTAGCTGCCCCAGGCCAAATTCAGTAAACGTACCTCGCCTCGAGGTATATTGACTACCTACCTTTAACTATCTAGCTGATTATCTGAATTCCTCCTCCACTCCTCCCCCCTCCATCTTCTTTTCCCTCAGGCTCTCGGAATATAGAATTCTAATTTATGTTTATTTTCTGAATCAGACCTTAAATCGTCCTAAGACATTTTCCTGCTATCCAGTGGCTTTCTTGTCCTCCTCCTCCAAGTTCGAACCAACCCCATCCAGTCCCCTTGCTGGTCCCCTTCTGAACCACCATTTCCCTATATCTACACCCCTCTTCTTCATCTGAGACCTTTTGTTTCTCCCCCTCCATCCCACAAGGACTCAATCTCCTGCTTATCGCGTCTAAGGGCGGCCTCTTCTCCAACCCCATCACTTCTTTGTCTGTCGCGCCTCGATCACCTTTTGAACCCTTTGTCTTTTGATTCAGAGACAATCGCGCCTCCTCGGAAACGGTCTGCCTCTAGTCGGGACACCTGCTCTTCCTCTGCGACGGTTGTGTCCTCGGATTCGCCCGTCGTTACTCTAGGAACTCCATAGGCCTAGTCGGCAGCATTCCTGGCCTTGCTTGGGCCGCTGAAGGGCACGCGACGCGACTCTCTTCGACTTCTCTTGTCTCTTCTTGCCGGTCCATTGGGGAATAGCAATGGCGTACGGATGTAAGTCTGATCCTTGAATCTGCCGTCTTCCAGCCTGTCCATATGGCCGGCTCGTTTGTTTATTTCTGCCCTCCATTCCCCATCCTCGAACTTCCCTTCTTCTCTCCCATCGCACACTCCTTAGTCTTTCTGTCTCTGCCTGCTTCCTACGCTGGCCATCCTTCATTCTTTCTTTTTGCTCCCAGCAACACTGTCTCTCGTTGGCCTCACAGCCTGACACCGGACACACAGTCTCTACTTGCCTTCACTTTTGTTGCCCATATCCACATTCCTTCTACTATCACACCGGTCATATACAATAGACCCATATTGAGACATTCTCTTTGATTACACACTCTTTTCATCTCGCGCACCTAATAACACTAAACCGTGTTCTTTGACAGGTGAAAGCGAGTCACGCCCGAGAGCCATTGAACTCGAAGATACAGAGGATATGAGATCCCAGAGTAATATGTCTGATCGCCTGGGCGTTGAAGTCGACTGCCACTCACTCGGTTCCAACGAATGTCCGTCTATGGGTTCCAGCTTCTCGCCTTTGGAATCACCCACACCTACCCCTACGAGCATCTACAGCCAAGGTTCACTTGCTTCCCCCAGCTGGCCAGAGAGCGGGTCATACCCCGGCCACGCTTACGACAGAGGTACCGGATCGACACCCATACGCGGCCACTTCCGTCTCGCCAGTATGCCCTCGCACGAGAACATGGGTCTGCCACCGTACAGCAGCCTGGATGGACAGGATCGCATGGCGGTGACAGATTTCCTGCCCTCGTATGACGAGAACGCGGACCAGTTCTGGCTCCCCTCGGATGTTCCCAAGACCTACGATCACCATGTCCATGGACTCCCATGCCCGCCGGCCATGCACCAATATCCGCCCATGCTTCGCAGCAACTACCGCCACCACCCCGCTCCGTATCTCCCTGAATCGGCCACCAACCCATGCCTGTCGCGCCCCATCTTCCATCATCAACCCGAGCGCCTGCCACCATCGTTGTCCATGAGCCACATGATGCCCTGGATGGGCCATACGGAGTCGATTGCGCCGGAGACCATTGCTCCGTCCCAAGTTGCACCGGTAACCCCTCCTCCATCCTACACGGATTTCTCCAACTCTATCAACACCTTCAAGACCCACTCGCCGGCTACGCCCATCCGCTCGTGCTCTCTGGGCACTATCTCTGGAGCGGACACACCCCTGAGCCGTCTCTCTGGCGGCGCTGGTGAATACATGGATGAATACCACCAGTCGCCTGTCTACCGAGATGCGTCAGGCGTTCGTCTGCAGCGGCAGCCATCCCGCAAGATGGCGCGGAAGCAGTCTTCCAAGCAGAGCCTCTCACTAGAGAACCTGCCATCCATCATCAAGCAGGTGCAGTTCAAGTGCAAAGAACCTGGCTGCAAAGGTCGCTTCAAGCGACAGGAACACCTCAAGCGCCACATGAAGAGCCACTCCAAGGAGAAGCCTCATGTCTGCTGGGTTCCCGGCTGCCATCGAGCCTTTTCACGCAGTGACAACCTCAATGCCCATTACACCAAGACGCATAGCAAACGCGGAGGCCGCAACCGCTATGTGGCCACCTTGGATGAGACCAGTCCCGACTACAACCCGGACTACCGGGGGCCACTTACTGCTGACGGTCGCCCCCTGCCCGGTGGGACGCTGGACGAGTCCATGCCTTCCCGCGAGATCAGCATGGAATGGGATGAGTAAAAAGATAAAAAAAGAAAATAAGAAAAGAAAAAAGAACAAAAAAGAAAATCCTTCAAAACGAAACGGAAGCTACAGACAGACTACGAAGAGATTAATGGGTGGATCGGAACCATGATACCCTTGTGACGCAGTCGACACAAAGAATTTCCTTGAGTATTTTAGATGGGCACAGACATATAGGGTCCAAGAGACCCCGGTCGGCGCTTCACGGCGTTATTTTTCCTTTTCTTCCATTTTTTCCCCCTTTCCTGTTGTATAACACGCGTCCTGGGTTCGATTTCCTCGCTTGGATGATGCATATTTATCACTATGTGTTTCTATCTCTATAATATGTCCTGTGGAGAGGCACGTCTGTCTTTTCTTGCACTGTTCTGTTTCTTTACTACAAATCCAGTCTGGGATAATTACAGCATGACTTGGACGAGGTCAGGAACGGGGCATACTGTGTGTTGGGACTGAGTGACTGGTTTGTTTGTGATCTGACTGATCTATTGAATGGCAACGTACGATATGAGATAATAATACTAGACATGGCTTACTGCTCGTTTCCAAAATAAGCCCAGGTCTCGACCATCAAAACTATTGTCTCCATCCCCGAGTATCCTTTCTGGTCTTGAGAAGATATGGATGGTACATGATACGAAGGAGATACCTACACCAGGCCTTAGCGTATCTTCAAAAATTCGATCAGTCTGAAAGCCTTTTCCTCCTGCAATGATTCGCCAACGCGTACCGTGGGTCTTAGACTATTTTAGACCGTCAGTACCTAACTAAGCAAGGTAAGACTGCGAAGACGATCCGATGGACAAATGACAAGGACAAGTCGCAGGGAACGCCCAGCCAGGGGACCAAGCGGCCAGCACAGAAACATTATCGAAGCTTGGAAGGTGGACACATCACATTCACATGCGGGGCATGTATCTGGCTGTTCAGAGGTCAGTGGTCAATGGTCAATGGTCATGTGAGATTTAGTCCTGTACCTGTAGGTATTGCTCTCCAATCTGCATGCTTGTAGTCTATTTTCATGCCATTCCTGTGTAATTCAACTCATTCATGGAACATGACTATGAACATTGGGACTGCCAGTAAGCACCTAAGTCCATATAAGCCATTGGAATCAGTACCCAGCCGGGCCAGCTCTCTCTCTCCACATTCCAGTAACGGCAATGCTCCTATTGGCGGCATCTACTGCCTGAAGATCTCCCGACAGCGGAATGTACTTCCTGGTCCATGCTCACCTAGTACCTAGTAGTGTACCTAGCCTAGGAAGGAAGTACTTACGGTGGTCTGTGGCTGTGGTAGTCATGCTAGCATACCTTAGAGCTATCTCAGACCCCGACTTTAGTACACTCTAGTACGGGTATGGGTATGCACCATGCAGCCCAGTTATCTTTGTACGACTACTACTCTCCCACTAGTGCACTGCTACTGCTACTGCTAACTGCTACGGCTCAACCGCTCGTACTGTGGAGTGGGTATGGAGTGGATATGGGTAGTGGATACTACGTACCGTACCGCCTCAGTAAATATGGACTATCTATGGAGGACTAAGTCCAGCAGTAAGTGATAATGCCGAATGCTGATCGGACTTACTTGGCGGTCAAGTCCATACCACTAGTGAAATTCCAGATTCCAGAAACCGGGAACGGAGCTGAGCTTAATGTTAAGATAGTTGGTCAAGGCTAAAACTAAGACTAAGAGACGATAGGATAGGTCCGTGGACTAGACTAGACTAAGGTACCTTAGCTTATTCCGTACGGGGTAGTTTGCATGCCAAGGGCTTTGGTGAGCTTTGATGAGGCGAGCTCTGTTGGTTGTAGTCTTGTGGACTGTAGTACAGGGAAGAATGGATCCAGATGAGCTACTAATATCCGTAGTATGTTCTAACTGATGAACACTCCCTTGGGAATTACGTGATTGGAATTTAGAGAGTACAGTTATTGAGCTGTATGTTGTATGCTTCCCCACTTTGGGTCGAGCTTGGGTGTGGATGTGTATGTGGATGTATATGTCCAAAGTTGGCAGCCATGGCATGCACATGCTTCTTTGAGTGTTTCGAAAGCTGACCGCTCGTTCAGATGTCGCCAAAACTATTGATTTAGCTGGTAAGATGCGGCGACTTGATGTAAGCCAGTACGTGAACCTCCTCGGCACGATCTGTCTTAGGGCCAAGGGTTATACGATTATACCTCAGATCTCATTTCAAGTGTTGTAAACAGACCACTCCGTGTTTGGGTTGGATGGACATCCATCTACGAGACTACGATCGTCATGCCTGCTAGTGTAGGTTTATTAGTTTAACTAAAGTAGGTCTGCTCCACAGCAATCACTAAGGGTTAGGTATTTGCATCTCTCTCCCCGTCGCTAAGACCATTTAGCGCATGGATATGATGACATCTTCAAGGCTACTGACAGTGTCAAAAAGAGAGCAGCAATTGAAAGTCATATTTGAGAAAGATTCAATCGCGCCTCGGTAATGGAGTACGGACAACACAAAATTTGCGCTCTCATGCTTTCTGGTAGCAATGGGGCAGGATATATCACCTCCACAGATCAACTTACCATGTCCTCAGCTGACAATGTGGCACAATGTCCTGCCTGGTCGGCCGAAACTCCACTAGCACATCATGTTCGGCGTTACCCAAATATCGCAGCGATGGCTTGGATTAAGAAGCTTGTTGACCATGGCAGAGACATCAGAGATCGGCCACGCTGAAGAAACGGCATAGTGTACGTGATATCATATGCTGAACAATGGACTATTGGCTCAAGCCTGGATTGGGAAGTGTACTCCGTACTGAGAACTGAGACGGGCTCAGTATCAGATGGCGGTCAGTATTGAGATCCCGTGGTGGATTTGTGTATTGGTCTTAAAATGTGATATTCTGCAGTCTGTAATGGACCCATGATATATCTGGAGCATGGAATACTTGGAAGAATTTGATTGACATTCGAAGCGGATGTGGTTGAGGTTTTGCTTTTGTGATGAGTTTCGTCAGCCGTCAAACCACTAGGCCAAAAAGGTGCAGACGGCCAATTTCTAGCATATAGTGGAAATGATAAGGCATATTCTGATTGACAAGTTTACAGCTACATAGGGGCTAGTGTAATTAGTTATAGTTATGCTTTACTTAGTCATACGCATAAAGAGTCACATGACCAAACTAAAGGCACTAGTTAAAAAGGCCACCACACAACATCCGCTTCCCAGTTTTTCATCAACAACACTGAGTGAGCTCAGATTTGAGCACTCAAGTTTACCTACACAGAACGGAACACAAAGTATTGTTTCCAGATCTATCAAATCATCACATCGGATGGAGTAGCTGCCTGTGAGCTCTAATGTCGGGCTCATGACGGTTATTCCATCAACTCTTTCCCAGACTATGATGACTTCCCTTCTTTGGCACGAGGCAGCGAAAACTGCAGTGGGTGACCAATTATCATATCAAGCTCAACAGTCTGAGTCTGGATGAACTGTTTATTACTGTACTTTGCCAAATAACACCGCGACCCTGCTTCCTTGATGATACAGTCCATAGCTCGCATAACCCTGACAAAATCAAATCAACTAAGATTTAATCCGAGAAACAGAGTCCCTTCAAGAGGCGTCTCGTAGTAGGCTTGTATTTCGACAAACCCAGCGCGTTTATAGAGTTGCTGCGCCCCAGTCATGGACGGCAGCGTATCGAGTCTCATTTCACGATAACCCAATTCCTTGGCCCTCTGGATGATTGCATCCACAAGTGCCTTTCCGAGACCCATCCCCCGTGCTTCAGGAGACACATACAGCCGCTTCACTTCACAGCATGATCGAACTTCGTTTTGAGGTTGCGCGGCTTCGTGGGATTTCTTGACGAGTGGACGGACGGCCACGCAGCCAAGGGCAATTTTGGGATCAATTCCGTAAGCTAGCAGCAACGCTCCATGCGGAGAACCGTACTGGCTAGGTAGGTTCTGTAGTTCGGATTCGAAGCTCTGGAAAGCGAGGTCGATACCGAGCGATTCAGCGTACGCCCTAAATAATGTCCTAGCTGTTGCAAAGTCTTCGGCAGTTTGAGCTGGGACGATCTGGAAGCTGCCAGTGGGGCCCATCAGGCAGGAAAATGGAGTAAGTTGATATATCCTGCAAATACTGGGCTCGAGAATGATAGTCAGAGAGAGCTTGGCTTGTTCCTGCTCTGTCATAGTATCCGGACCAGATGCGAGTTGATATGTTGCTGAGCCGGTATCGGATCGCCCTATGACTCAGTCAGAGATGACCAAGTTGCTGGGGTAGATAATCCACGGCATAGGCGCGGATAGTATCGCAGCCAGTCAGAGTATGTAGGTAGGATGGATAATCATCTATGGACAGAAGTAAGCTGTATGATTGATGATGCCTAGATGGAAAGGATAAACATGTTTGCTGGCCTCAGGCGCCCAGGCTACCACCGCTTGCATTCAAGTCGATGCGCCTCGGTTCTGAAAACAATCTGACCTCGATCATAAACCACCAATGCTTTTCAACTTTGGTACCCTTATTATCTCAATGTCTGAAGGGTCCAAATCAACTTGGCTACAATGTTGCTATGTCGTCGTTGAATTCCATACTCAGCGACTGCAGCTTAGTTGACATCGGTTATTTCATGAAAATACTTCGATCTAGTCGCTCAATGGATCATTAAAGAAGATTGGACTCCTCTACGCTAGGTCCGACCGATAGCTAACCTGCCGTCTTCTTCTGAGAGCTGCTTGCCTTCGTTTACTCCGATTTTCTCATACATGAGTGTTCCCTGGGAGTCTGGGACTTTCATCACGAGTGATTTGCACGAATTACGAGCAGTCGATGCAACGTTCTGAACCTCTGATACACAGCGGTGGAGTCGAAAAAAACCAGATCAGCAACCATCAACATTATTAAAATATCCTGGCCACTCCTTAACGGTTCCTGATTCTACCCCGATGGCCCCCGTCGGCTAATCAACAGTCCGGCAACTGCAAATTCGAACCAGATCATACGATTGGACGGACTCTATCTGATCGACTCTCCGCCTCGACAAGGATGGCAACAAAATCAAGAGTAAACGGAGCTCGACGGCGACGTCCGATTGCTTGTCGCTGCGTTGATCTGTGTTCCTGAATCCGAGGTAATCTCCGCCGTCAAATCAGCGGTGTGTTATCAGTACATGTGCTGCTATCAACGCTTGGCAATACGAAGCGATGCTCCATAGTTAATCCAGTTCTGTCGTATCTGAGGCGAGCGTCTTCAACCTGGAAAAATTGCCTATATAAGGCGAGGTCTTCCATCTTTGACCTCTGCTCGTTGTCGCCCCTAACTTCTTCCATCGTGTCAACCTTTCCACCGTGCTAGGATGCCCGCAACCCATTTCCCCTCGATGGGCAAACTCGCCCTGGGTGCAATGCACCTTGCCTCTGGTTTTCATAACCACAATCTTCAGAGTTGCCCAGGGAATATCCCAGTGAGTTGCAGCAACACGACCGCGGTGCCGGACTCTTGCTGCTTCAACCATCCCGGAGGATCTCTCCTCTTGACTCAATTTTGGGACACCAATCCAGCTACGGGTCCTTCAGACTCCTGGACTGTTCACGGACTTTGGTATGCCTCAGCAGAATGGAAATGATGCAATACGGTCACTAACAATTGGCCCAGGCCCGACAACTGTGACGGCACGTACGAGCAGTTCTGTGATTCTTCTCGCGAGTATTCAAACATCACGGAGATCCTCCAGGCGCAGGGTCGGACCGAGTTGCTGTCCTACATGCAAACCTACTGGAAGGACTACCAAGGCGATGACGAGAGCTTCTGGGAGCACGAGTGGAACAAGCATGGTTCGTTTGTGCCGATCTGACAATTCCGACCAGACACTAACGATGATACAGGCACTTGCATCAACACCATCGAGCCCAGCTGCTACAGCGACTACAAGCCCCAGGAAGAGGTCGGTGATTATTTCCAGAAGGCTGTCGATCTTTTCAAGGGCCTCGATACGTACAAGGTATGCAACCAGACATTGATGTTTATCATACAGAGACTAACGGCCTAGGCTCTTGCCGCTGCCGGCATCACTCCCAGTTCGTCCAAGACATACAAATTGAGCGACATCCTGTCCGCTCTGTCTGCAATCACCGGCCATGAGCCCTCGGTCGGCTGCAGTAAGGGCGAGCTGAATGAAGCTTGGTACTTCTTCAACATCAGGGGCAATCTCATCAATGGCAAATACGTGCCTACTGATCCGCGTATGTTGTCCGTTCATCTCGGTTCCATAGACGACAGCTAACCTGAAATAACTATAGTCTCATCTTCTACCTGCCCCTCCTCTGGCATTAAATACTTGCCCAAGCCTGCCAGCGGCAGCCATAATGCCACACATCCATCTTGGAAGTTTGGGGGTAAGGAGGGAAAGCACGTCGTTCGTCATGACTGAGCGTCCTGTCGAATGGAGAGAAACGGCGCGGATGCATGAAGTCAAAAAGTCCTTAAGGAACTCGCAACCACAGAGATATCCGAGTGCCGCGACCCCCATATCGCGGCCAGTCTGTACATTTACTGGAAGCAACGATGCGGTTAAAAAGCACACGACTTCGAGCCGTGTGTGCTAGACCCGAACAGCTCTGCCTGCTGTTGTATCCTGCACAATTCCCACATAGCAATGCAGCCCTGCGCACCAATTGTGTTCCCGTATGTAGGACCGCGCCTTCTAAGCGTCGACAGGTAGATATCCGTCTGTCAAGTCAAAAGTTTCCCTAGAAACATAGATTCGAAGAGATGCGTTCCTCCAAGTGCCCGGGCCTGCTGCCTACTATGACTGCTGCATTCATCTGCAGCAGTCAGGTCGCGAGGCGAAGCAGAACGGCGCGCCAATTGTGGGTAGGATCGTATCTCGAAACCGCCAGAGGGACAGTGATAGGCAACTTGATACGTCCGAGCTGCCATGCCGCGATGCCCTGGCATACACAAGTTGTAAGAGGGCTGGTGTAAGAGTGCAGACACTCGAACGTCTCACAGTCCCTTCAACCGCGCATTTCTTCTTTCCTCCTCCCGCTTGGCAACGACGCGATCCAAGAAATCCATGCGGCCGAGGAACCCTTCCTTGGCTTTGCTGTGAAGCTTGAGCTCGTCTTGGATGCCGGCCTGGTCCACATACGCAGCCCAGTCCAGCCGAGACTTTTCCACAGTGTTGATTTTCGGTCCGCTAATGTTCTCTGTCTGGCCGGTGATCTGCTTCTCCCAGCTCTTCTTGATCGTCCCAGTGGGGTTAGGATCAAAGCGCGAGATCTTGCGAAGGGGTCTGCGGAGCTTGAGCGAGTCCTTTGCGTTCGCGGCGTGTTCGACATCGGCGTCTGTGACGGTCTCAGCGCTCTCGCCGTTCGCGAGGAAAAGCTTCGCTTCGGCGGAGTCTTTGGGGACAATTTTCTCTTGGGTGATGACTTCGCCGGCGAACTTGTAAGTCCGTTTGATCTTTACCATCTCCTCCGTATACTGAGGTTTGGAATCGGGCGAGGGCACCTGTTTCTCGGCGGTATCTGTATCCTTGTTTTCGTCGTTCACAGGGGTGGCATCCTTCGCTTGAGTCTGTAAAGGGAGAATGCTTCCACCAGAATCAGGGGCATTCATCTGCGCCCATATTGCGTCGACGTCAACCGTAGCCCCGTCAATCTTGGCCAGTGGTTTTCGCTCTTCCTGCCTGTCAAGAAGGAAATGTTAGTCATCTAGGAGCATGAAGCAAGGCCGTACAAAAGCTCAACATACATTCGCATCCTCATTGCTCGCGTCCGTACAAAGCCCCTGGGCCACCCTCCTCATCCTCATCGAAATCCACGTCGTCCTCGTCCTCATCGCTGGCTGTGCCTTGCGACTTCTTCCCTTTTTGCTTGCCCTCCTTTCTAGCCTTTAGTTTCTGAATCATGGCCTCATCGCCGGAGTCGAGTTCTTTATCCTCGATGGCTGCCTTGTTAGGCACTGTTTTGCGCTTTTTCGCTGCTGGTTCTGTCGCCTCATCGTCGCTATCGGAGCCGGTCAAGTCGGCATCTTCTTGATCAGGATCGAGCTGAAAATCTTCATCTTCGGCGGAGTCGTACTGCTCGTTATCAAAGTCCAAGTCGGACACAGTGGCCGTGGGTTCGGCTGCCATCTTGTTCTCTAATCTGGAACACGCCTCTTGGGAGCGATCCAGATGAAAGCGACGGAGGCGCGAAGCAGAAATGTACCATCGGATTCTGCCAGGGCGGTGTGTGCGATAACTGACTAGTTGGCGGACAGTAATGACCAATCAGGGGATCTGCCTTTGGCGGAGAGGCCGAGGATGTTTCTTTGAACTGTGATTGCGCACCATCTTCCAGCGCGTACTCTTGTTCTGAGAAAAATGTGGCACTGGCAGTAATCGTCACTCCTCAACCGGAAGATGACCAAAATAGACGGTCAAAAATGGATGCCAGAAATGCACGCGAATGGGACCAGGAACGACAGAGACGAGAACAACGAGGTCTACAGTTTCAGAATGAGTTTCTCGGTTGGGACTTGAGAGAGAGTCCGCAGTCTGTTCCGTCAGTGACTAGATCCACAAGATCGTGCACAGAGTATGAGTATACGTCGAGAAATCCGATCTTAGGTAGCTCTCAGCCCTTACTTTGGATTCGCCGAATGTATTGACTCTAGACAGTTGATCACTTGGATCCTCTTGACGTGGACATACTGAATCAGCGACATGCCTTTGATTTACCCTCGCAGGCTGTCTGTGATGCTCTCGTGGACGTGTTCTTCAAGTGGATCGCACCAGTGTTGCCCGTGATCAATCGGCATGATTTCATGTGTCGATATCGTAATCCTCAGAACCCTCCGTCAGTCCTCTTACTTCAAGCCGTACTCATGGTAGCGTCAAGGTACCACCATCATGCGCAGAGCTCTGGGAATGGCGTAATCTCTCCGCGCATGTTCTACAAGAAAGTGAAAGCTTTGTATGATGCTGGATACGAGAGAGATCCTACCACCGTCCTCCAGGCTGTAGTCTTATTGGGCGTATACTGGGATGGCCCGATGGTAGAGTTTGCTCAGCGCGTTGATCTGTATTGTGTTGACGAGCTATAGATCTCACAGAAAGCGGAATATTCTATTGGAGTCGTCTGGGAATAGCTTTAGCTCAGGAACACGGGCTTCACCAGAGGTAAGAGTCACCCGGTACTGTACTCTTGAGATCTAATTCCAATTCAATTGCAGTGAGAACTACGTGACACTGTCTGCTATGAAGAGAAGGATCTGGAAGCGGATATGGTGGACACTTTACACGCGCGATCGCTCTGTGGCTGCAGCATTCGGCCGTCCTCTTCACATCAATTCCGAAGATTGCACGGTGGAACCCTTGGAAGAAAGCGACTTTATTGAGTATGATGAGCAGAGCGATGGTTCGACAGATCGTATAGCAGTCCTTTTCTTCATGCAGTACGTGAAACTTTGCCAACTAATGGACCTTGGTCTGTGCTTGAAGCTGTCTTCCAGGTCGACGGAGGATAGTCGGATGAAGGGGGCTGCGCAATGTGAGCTTGGTCTGAATGACTGGCTCGTCTCGTGTCCGTCTGAGCTTCAGTGGAGACAGTCTCGTCATAATTTTTGGTCAGCGATACTGTATTCGACGTTCTAGTGAGTTTGAAAGGGAAGCACTGGAAAGACTATGAGCTGATCTTCAAGCAGTACCATTGTGTGCCAGTTACATCTTCTGCAATCTCCGGACTCGTCAAGGGAGGCCCAAAGCTCAGCTTTTCATGCTGCCACAAGCATCGTGTCCATCCTGGAAACGCTGCAGTCTAGGGGCGAGTTAAAGTATACACCATCATTCATGTAAGTCCAGGCTTTTCAGTGTTCCATTCCACTACCGTTGAGCTTACCTGTTAGAATCTGCCATGCCGTTGTATCTTTTGTCACACTGAGAAGCCAAATGGAAGCCTCAATACCGTCCCTGCTGCATGCCATCCGACAGAATCTGGAAGCCAACCTAGACATGCTCCAAGTACTTTCGCATACATGGCCCATTGCGGCAATTTTTCTAGAGCTTTTTCGCACTATGACTGGCCCGGAACAATTTGAGCGAATGTTATCAGACGCAGCAGAGAAGTGCCGGAAACGTGCATGTGGAGAGGAGAACGGCGGTTCCGCTCCCTTAAGGTCGTCGGGGCGTTTCAAAAGGCCGAAAATACAACAGGTGATTCTACCACAGACTAGGGTCGTCCTTCAGATTCTGCAGAGGGAAACTCAGAAGCAATTTAACTCGCAAGGCCCGCTCGAAAACGAGTTGAATACAGGGGTCGAAAGTATGCCGTCTGCGCACGTTTCAGATCAGAACCGTTCTTCACCTATGACCGAGATTGACCCGCTGCTTGAGGTCTGTGACGCTTCAGCCATATTACAGAGCTTACGGAGCATAATCGACGCTGGTAATACCGCTCCCCATTATTCTCGATCAGACGATGTATCATGATCCTCTTTCAAGTACACCGCAGACGCTTTATCAATGTGCAACGTCACGTCAGCCATGAGAACGAGTACATAGCTCCTCATCCACAGGCTTTACTCCAAATCGTCGTGGAGTATCCAACCCTGTTTGGGGTGCGATTATAGGCGTGCGGATTCTACTGGACGCTCTCTGTGAGAATTGAAAAGACTACAAACAGCGGAGCTTCATTAAACTCTCTCGGCCAAGACCTACAACAAAGCCGCTCAACCGCGTGAAGTAGGCTGAATCTGTAGGATCCGAGATCTAACCTGTATAGATTATCATCTACTAAAGACTGATGATCCGCGACCTCCAGGAAGGAGCGTACATTGATATTCTGGCAATACTGCCTGTTAATATGCAGAGGGCATTGTTTCGCAGATGAGCGTTCATCGTAAAGAGACAGAAAACCAACGCAGTCTTGTTGTTTGACTCAATCTTGAAGCTGCCAGCTGCATGTTTGCCTATACTGCTTTCTCTCAATTATTATTGCCATTCACAATTGTTATATACTGTCCTTATGATGTTGGAAGATCTCAGTTCGTATCACAGAGAATAGGAGTCCCTTCTCAGAATAAGAACAGGTACCCATCAATATATCGTTTTGGTGGCCCTGGAGCTATCTTGGCCAGGGTTGATAATTAATCAATAAATCACCAGTGACCAAAACGGGCCGACCCGCGCTCGGTGGTTTCGGAGTTGAGCACTTACAGCCTACCGAGGATGTGGAGGGCACCGACCGTTCTATCATGTCATACGCTATTTGAACATGAGACATCCTGAATTTCTAATCTCAACTTCATTCATTTACAGCGACGGAAAGACACAAAATGACATCAAACAAACCAGTCGCTCTCGTTGTGGGCGCTTCCCGCGGTATCGGCAGGCAGATTGCCATGGACCTGGCCAAGACTGGCTACAAAGGTATGCTCAAATCACAAGCAGATCCTCCGAGCAAGGCACTGACACTGTTCCAGTCGTCGTGGCGGCAAAGACCACCTCCAACGCCTACGCAACAGTTCCCTTCCCACCGGATCCGAACTCCTCGCAATCGACCATCAACACCGTCGAGCGAGAGATCAAAGAATCCGGCGGCGAAGCGTTCGCCCTCCCAGTAGACGTTCGCGACGTGAAGCAGGTCGAGAACTTGGTTCACGAGGCGGTCCGCCTGGCAGGCCGCCTCGATGTCCTGGTCTACAACTCCGGGGCGATCTGGTGGTCCTCGGTGGCGAATACGCCCACCAAGCGGTTCCAGCTCATGCAGAGAGTGAACCCAGAGGGTCTCTATGCGAGTGTGCAGGCGGCATTGCCATACTTTGAGAAGAATGGGTGGAAGGGACGGATTATTGTTGTCTCGCCGCCGATCTACTCGCGATTCTTTCGGGGGAAGACGGCTTATGCGATGGGTATCTCTTCTGTGTTGCCTTCACACCAGAAATTTAGGCTAATGTCGGCACAGGCAAGGTGGGGATGAGCGTCCTGACCAAGGGCCTAGCTATGGACTTTGTTAGACAGGGGGCGAAGGATATGGCCATCACCAGTATCTGGCCTGCAGTGGTACGTTTCTTGACCATTCTGCTACTTCATATACTCACTCTCTTTTCCAGTCCATCGAATCAGCCGCCACGGAGGCGACCACGAATGAGGATCCTAGCCGGAAAGCCGATCTCAGGAAACCTGTGAGTAGAGCCGTGCCCGCATTGAAGCATATCGCTAAGACGAATAGACGATCTTCTCGGACGCTATTCTGGGGATTTTGAACAGTCCCCCTGACATCGTGAATGGCCAATTGGTTCTCGATGAGGACTTTTTGCGCGACCATTGCGGTGTTTCTGACTTCTCCAAGTACGCTGTTGTTCCGGGATCTCAGCCACGGCGGATCATGCCTAAGGAGCTGCCTGTCCTTGAGGTGGCGGAGCAGGATGATGAGGGTATGCGGGTGGATAGTACGAAGTTGAGAAAGGCCAAGCTGTGATTCCATCTTCCTGTAGCTTACAACTTATTCTATGTTCAGCAAATAGCAAATTCATATCGCGTTCGTACCGTTCAACATATTGAAGGCACTCAAGCACTTTGAAAAAAGACGCCTGGTCCACCCCTACACTACTTGCGATGGTCATATAGGCAGTGAAATGATGAATACAATCTGCAAGCTGGATTCCAGCCTTCAATAACATTCCAAGGAAAGCCTTCCATAAAGCTCATAGATCAAGTATTACATACAATAGCCAGGGACAATGTTCCTGTCGATGATCTACAACTTCGCCCTCCGCTCAACCTTCAATCTCAAATCCTCATGCGGCAACTCCAAGAAATCCCACATGAAATGAAAGCGATCACTCCCAAAGAACGGCTCCGATTTTCCCTCGCCATTAGTCACCCAGAACCACGGACACCCAAACGCCCCCAGCACTTTGACGACCCTCTCCGTAGTCGCTGTAAGCTCGTTCTTGATCTCGGGACTCGACGCCGCAGCCAGGATCTCCTCAACCTCAGCGCCTGAGAATGTCTTCGCTAATGCCTTGGACAGATTCTCCGGCTTGGAGATATCCAGCTGGCCATTCCACATCGTCTCGAAGCAGGCGAGGAACGCCGGGACGAGTTTGTGGGCATGCTGGCGCTTGATGTATGTGAGTGCTCGTTGGGGCTGTTTGCACAGCATTAGATTCCCTTCATTTCCTTTCGATGGCAGAGAGACTTTACCAGGAGCGAGAGGATAGGGAAGAACGCAGGTACTTCGAAGTTGTGCCCGAAGTACTTTTGGGCGCGTTTGCCGTCGTACGTAGAGTAGGCGGCTTTGGCGGGGAGAGTCCAGGGGGTTTGTTTCCTTTGCTGGTCAGAATACTTGCAAGAGTACGTAGCAGGAAATGTTGGAATAAGCGTACCGCTCCCTACGTTGATGCCTCCCAGGAAGACGGGGATGTATCTGGCCATGTGAGTGTGTTTGCGGGAGAGTTGAGAGGGGAGGGTCTCATACTCGATTTCTACGCCTAGCGAGGCGAGCGCCTCTGCATTTTGTTGGAGATACGTGAAGGCGTAGAAACTGTAGGGTGATACTATTTGAATTTGTAAGTATTGATGAAGCGCTGATGAGAGATACTTGGCTGGGGTCGAACCGCAATCAAGGTAACATTCGATTTTCTTGCCCATGGCGTATGATGACGTTCGCTTCTACTAAACTGACAATTCAAATGATGCAATTTGATTATTGCATTCGTGATTCCTTATTAACTGTGATTTAAATCATAAGGAGCATGTGGGGAGCCGAGGATGATGGCTTACCCCACGGCCCAGACGACGTTATATCCGGCCCGCCGTCGGCTTCTCGAATGTTGATTATGTGTTCGGTGAACTTGAAGAACAGGCAAAAACCAATATAAAATTAAGTGAATATTGTAGGTAACCCAACCCTCTCAATCAATAATGGCTTACCAGACCGACAAAAAAGATACCCAAGAAGTACTGCGCAGCAGAACGACAGACCCCAGTGAATATGAGCATACCACGCGCTTCACACGTTTGAATTCTTCGTCAAAACAGTCTCCTTCTCCACTTGCACCCCAAAGCTCCTCTGCCTGGACACGTTCCGCTCAAGCCAGACTCCAAACACACCAACCGCACCCCCGACAACCTCGAGCCCGATCAACAGAGCGAGAAGCACAAATCCTGCCTTCGTCTCCCGACAATCCCGCTCGAAATGCGTCGGTGCATGTAAAGAAACATTCTCGCTCGAGTTGACGCTCCGCATGGCCTTCCACTTGCATGTCCACGAGTGCAGTGTCTCATTGTGCGAAAATCCACCCGGATACGTGGATTGCGGGAGATAGATCGCAAAGGCCAGTCCGACTGCCGCAGCGATGAGGCCCGCGACTGCCGTTCCCGAGGCGAGGATGTTGAGACGCCGGATGTGGGAATGGGGCTGGCGATGTCAGTATGTCTTCAGGGTTCCTCGTCAGCAAGGCGACTCACAGAAGGGATGAGCACGGCGACGATATAGATGAGATTGAGGACTGCAATGACGCAGCCACTAGACAGGATAGCGATCGTTGGTCGGAGATCAAAGTTCAATGGCCACAGGGCCAGTCCTGCTTCTTCGTACCCGGAGGTGCTCCGGTAGTGCTGGAAGGGTACAGCTTCGCAGCCGACGATTGCGAGAGCAGAGCCGAGGCAGATCACAGACAGAGCGAGTTGGGCCCAGCGGAGATGGTGATTCCTTTTGAGAAAGGTTGATTCTTCGTGGTCCGAGGCGCAGGAGACGGTGTATGAGGCTGCGGCTGAGCCTGGATGGGACAACCCGGCATCCATTTTGAGAATTATGGAGCAAAGTTAGGAGCGAGAACGGAATGTATCAATCAGTAGACAGCAATGAATGAGTGAAAATGAAAGAAGTCTTGCCAGAAGACTGAGGTGAAAGTATTGAGCAAAGAACGAGGCAATGTCCACCAGGGAGGCTACAACGTTGAGGAAACCTGAGGAATCAGCGCACATTTAAGCGTTATCACCCTCCGTAAAGCAATGTGCAATTCTTCAAGCTCACTGACGAACTTGCGTCCGAGCCCATCCTCTTTTCCGTCGAAACGTCCTGCCATTAGCAGCCGCATTACCGTAGCCGCCGGGCTGATGAAGACGATCCTCATTCGTCGGACCCTGACCTATGACAGTCACTCCTGCAGAACTTCCATAAAGAATCAGTCTGAAGTGAAATGGCAGTAGAGTCAATCTCAAACTTTCTTCTCCCTGGCGCGTAGATATGTGGAAAACTGTGTGACGGTTGTCGGGATTGGATGTTGGAGAGCGCTGACCTTGAGCGCCACTGTTCCTGGACTCCAGGTAGATAGCCCGGCGCTTCCCCAGTATCACCTTGCGTGAAAGCAGTCCCCCAGATTTATGAAGAGACATCTATCTGTGACTACAAGGTAAGGAGTAGGGCTTGGAGAAAATAATGACATTGTTCAATATGCACACTAAAAATTACTGTCATGTAGAAATTCATCAGGAAGGGGGAATCAATCACAATCATCATCAAACAGTGGATAAGTGCACAGAAGAAACATTTGAATGAATCTTTCCAGCTTTTCGTGATGCGTAAATCAGTCGTGGCCAGACACTCTTCGTCGCCAGTCTTCACCCGTGCGATGGACATCGACCACATCAATTCGCTTACCAATACCCGTCATCCCCTCCTTCTGCCACCACTTCTCACCCTTCTCGGCAAGTACTGATTCATCTTCACTGTCGATTAGGCCGCCTCGGCCGCCTTCGTCTCCAACTACCACCACGACCTGTCTGACCCAGCCAGAAATGTGTTGCACCGCATCGCCTTGTTTGCCTGTCAAGGACTCCTGCACGTAGACAATGTCGGGTGAAAGATGGCGGACAAGGTGCACGTATCCCGTCGCAGTGCTAAACGGCATGATGGTGTTCTCCTTGTCGACAATGGCCTGCGCCTGCGTGTATAAAGTGCGGAACAATGGAGAGGCGCCTTCCTGCTCATCAGCTGGGCGAGGCTCGAGAGTGGACAGGTCGCCGCTAGGTGTTTCCCCAGGCGACCTGGCCTCCTCAGGAGCAATATTAGAATAGGATGATGTGACGGAGAGAGTAGGATTGGACGAGCCGCCCTGGTTGGGTGCATGCTTTAGGCCTGGCGCATAAATAAGAACGAAGATCTTTGCGGTCTCAGGGTCGACATGTTCAGGAAGGTGAGAAAGAATAGACTGTTCATAGTTTGTCAGCGTAATCCATGACATCGAGCCAACAAGGACCTACCGCGTGCTCAGTGAAGTCGTCAGGGTCGTGACTTGCCAACTCAGAGGAGACCACAATCGCTACCGTCTTCTTCTTTTTGTCGAGAGCAGGAGGGCCGCTCACCGCGCTGCGAGTGGGAAGCGCTCCGCTCATCGCCGGAGCTGCTGCGGCAGGTTGAGCGTCTCCCTGAGTAGCCCTCGACCGAACCTCTTCGGACCATCGCGAGTGATCCTCAAAGTCACCGCGATCCTCCTCCCGTATTGATGTCAGAGCGTTGCCCATGAATGCGCCCGCCGCAGCCATACCGGCCGCGACCCGTCTACTAGCCCCATCGAAGATCTGCTGAGGGCTCGGTGTGCGCCGCAAAGCACCCTGCATACGAGCCATCATACCAACATCGTCACCATGAATATCTGCCCCAGTCGACCTGGCATATTCGCCGTCAATGCCAGCTGGGGTTCCCTCCGCGCCCGGCGGGGGTACCGGTCATCCCTCGAGTCGTCCAGGGGGTATTCGCCTTCGTCATTATTATCGTCATCATCACTGCGCTCGCTCCAAATCCACGCGGCTATGCCAATTGTTGCGATACTGACCGTCAAAGCCAGAGGTACCCAATACCCCATGACGGTCCGTCGCCCCGAGGAGCTGAAGCCGGCACCAGCTCCAACCCGCCGCCGACGAGCATCCTGAGAATATGGGAAAGACATTGCGGGCACTGAGAGATGATAGAGGGTGGGCGCATAGAAGTCAATCCAATCGCGATTGTGTATAATGATCACATCTCAAGGTTGCATGAGAGGAAAAAGGGTGGTTGGTTAACGGAGCAAGCAGGGAGAAAGAGAGAGCCCAAGGCTGGGCCTCGGACGAGCCGAGAAACATGTGGCTGGTGATGTGCTGGTTACCGCGGTGTTTGTCCCGCTTATTACCAGAATCTGACAGAATTACAGTAACTTACGGGGTTGGTACCTTACCTAAGTTACCTGACTAATGCGAGTAAGTTGCTATGTTTGTGCTGTTTATTTTGTTTGCTTCATGCTTATCAACACATGACAAGCTCTGTTATCATGATTTAGGGCATCAAGGTGTTTGGCTGATTTGCATCAACATAGAGCTATCGGCACGTGACAGCGGGATTTTGTTTAACAAAAGATGGGTAGTTACAATCTTCCCATGCATATCAGGTTGAGTCAGAGGGCGGACAGAAAACAGCACCCTCGCTGAGTTTGACGACCCGATTTATATGATACCCTGAATAGTCAGACACGATTTCAGGCTATGCGCGCTTGAGTTCAACCATCGCATAAGATAATACGACGAGTCATCCTCCCCTCTTCCCCGCGGTGATCCTTTTCACCCCAATCATTTATACCAATCCTACAATCAGAACAACTTCGTCAGTCACAGCCGCGGATAAAACGAGCATTTCGCAATGCCGCACTCAATCCCCGTGCCCCCGATGGGCTTTCAGGCCCTCATTCTGTGCGGTCCTGGTGTCTCTCTGAACACATTCACCTCGAATCCTGAAGAATTTCCCAAATCATTGTTACCTATCGCGAATCGTCCTATGGTGTGGTATCCTCTGGATTGGTGCTATCGGATGGGCATAACAAGTGAGTAATTGTAGATCTGCGTTGAGCGATACGAACATGCACCTGCCCTAATGTCGAGCACCGGGACTCTGTTCTAACTGAACTGAAGATATCACTCTTATCACACCCCCCGCCAGTCAAGGGCCATTAGAAGCTGCTCTCTCGCAAAATCCTCACCTCACATCTCTTCCGGCACCTTCACCTTCCGTTCTCGCTCCAGCAGACCTCACCTTGACGACCGGTACCGCGGAGCTGCTGCGTCTCCCCGAAGTCCAATCATGCATCAAGTCCGACTTTCTCCTCCTCCCCTGTGACCTCATTTGCGATCTACCAGGAGAATCACTCTTGGAGGCATGGATGGTCACCCAAAGCGCCCTGGGTGGCTCTACTATCAGCGGCGGCTGGAACTCCAATGGACCCAAGAGCATTGGAATGGGTGGTGAGCAAGGCGGCCGCCGCGGTGGTCTCGGAGTTTACTATCAGACTAGAGGGCGGGAAGAGAGCGTCAAGGGGGAGGTGACAGATTTTGTGGCTACCACGCCGTTAGGGCAGGAGGAGGAACCCGCAGTCTCTCATAATTCGGACGGCCCTGTTTCGATCCGGTATGGGCTGTCAAAGCTAGTGCTCTCAATACCTATGGATACACTGAAAGAACGGATGGAAGAGCAAAAAGGGCTTCTCATCCGTCATTCGCTAGTGAAGAAGCACGCGCAGGTGAAGATGTTGACGACCTACCGCGACGCCCACATCTACGTATTTCCTTACTGGGTCAAGGAGATGGCTGTGCTGAATGAAAAGTTCGAAAGTGTCGGGGAGGACCTTGTCGGTTGGTGGGCCAAGGCTGAGTGGCAGAAGGGTCTAGCGGAGAAGCTTCGACTGCGCGAGATTTTCGAGCCAGAGGGATGTGGAGCCGCAGAGAGTGGCAGTCTGGACGGCGAGTATATCGAAGAGGAAATAGACCTCAAAGCGATGAGCACTACTAAGGCGGGAGCCGGCACATCGCGCGACGCTTTGTCAGACGATCCCTCAGAGACCGTGCAATTCGCGTCTCGGGTGAAGAGATCTGGTACTGATTTGAGCACTGCGTCGCCAGAACCATCCAAAGGCAGGCTCACCGTGCCGCCGTTGCTGGCATATGTTCACTCCTCGCTGCCGTCTGCACCGCTGGTCAGGCGTGTGGATACATCGGCTCTGCTTCTGTCCGTGTCCCTCCGCCTGGCCAAACTCGAGTCGATCGAAGAGGTCGGCCGCATAGCCGCGTCGCCTTTCGCTCATAACCAAAAGGTCGCCTACCCGGCCGGCGTCGCTCAGCGGTGCACGGTCACCAAGGCCGATTGTCTTCTCGCCGATAATGTCACCGTAGAGGAAAAGTGTGTCATCAAGGAATCCGTCATTGGCGCCAATTGTCACATCGCCAGCGGTGCCCGCTTGACGCGCTGTCTCATCATGGATGGCGCCGTGATCGGTGAACGCTGCCAACTGACTGGCTGCATCGTGGGCCGGCGGAGTCAGATCGGCCGCGAGAGTGTGCTCAAGGACTGCGAGATCCAAGACGGAAACATCGTCCCCGAGGAGACGGACGCGAAGAACGAAAAGTTTATGGTCTTCGAGGGTTTGGATGACGAGGACGGCGAAGGAATGGAGGTTTCCGAAGAATTCAGCGACGGCAACGACGAGCTAGGGTTTTGATTGACTTGGGCACGTTCCTTTTGATGTTACGAAAATCGATGTCTTGATGTCCAATGACGACATAGAGGCTGATCTTGATGATACCGCTACGTTATAGAAAAGAATTGATTTAGCCATTCTAATCCGCCGAGTATTCTCAACTTCTAGGCCGCTGTTGCAAAAAACAATGGTATCATAGCCTCCCAACGCCGTAAAACGGAAAACACAAACCACCCATGCGCCCGCGCACGGCTACGGTAGTATGCTCAACGAGCACACAGCATCACTCCTCTCTCTTGTCCCTCCTGTGCTGGTGTTCTCCCCGCGCCAGCGGCGACTTCCCAATCGACACCATCGCCTGCCTTTTCTTCCCATTTCTCCGCTGCGTAATCCGCCTCACGAGCATGGCACGCGGCATCTCATGGGTCTTCCGCGGCGCATGCGCAGAAGCATCCATCGATTCCTCTCGCCTATTCCTTCCCTTCCCCGCAAGAGCGCAAGACGAGCCGTTACCCACTCCCATTGGTATCGCGACAGGGATAGGCGTATACGGCACTAGATCTGTCACTTGCAGCTGGTCCCGTGTTCCATTCCAGTCTCGGTTCCCGTCGCCGTCGCCGTCGTGCGCAGCAATATCGCTCGCCAGTCCGGCTGCCAGCAGCTGCTGAGGTGCAACCGTAGGCGTAGGCGCTTGCTCGGTTTCAGTCTTCGGCACGGAACCGGGCCTGGAACCAGTCGAATAGTAATAGAATCCCGCCGAGGGGTGCACATTCCGGCCCTCCCAGTTCAACCCGTCCCAGCTTGCTATGGCCGTCGCTGTCGGCGTGGATATATTCGACTCTGCGTGCCCGTCGTGCGCCTCTGGCTCTGAATTTGGAGCTGGAGTCAGGTCACACAGGTCATCCAGATCTAGATCCACGTATAGGCTTAAGTCGAGAGCCTGAACTGCTAACCGGGACTCCTCCGCCAAGGCGTCTAGGTATCCGTCCCTTTGGACATAGGCTGCTTTTTCGGGACCGGGCTGGTCGAACCGTTTGTGGTCGCCGCGGGCGAAGAATCTGGCGACCATGTCTAGGAAGCCTGGTTGCGCGACGGAGACGTTGAGGATGGAGGCGAGTATTTGTGCAGTTAGGAGACTCTGGTGGGTGGTGAGGGTTTGTTTGCTCCGGGGATATTGCTGTCTGCAGAGGGGGCAGGGTTCTCCGAGGAGGGCAGTTGATGTTGGTTCTGTGGTGTGGGATGGGATGTCCTGGAAAGGACAGGTGAGGGTCATGGGGATGAGGTGGTCACAGTTGTGCCAGAAGATTGAGATGCGGCACATCTCGCTGTGTAGAGACCCGTTGGAGAGGTGGTGAGCTGCTGATGAGAACTTGGGAGCTGTAGGGGCTTGCTGGTAGTATTTGTATGCTCTTTGATGATCGTGAGGTGGTCTTGAGATCATTGTGCGCTGCATGGTTGTTGAGGGTTGGTATGAGGAAGATAAAGAGAGATCTTTTACAGCTGATAGACAAGGAAGTCACTGGCAGTGATGTGTTGGTGAGGACAAAGGGAGAGTGAAGTGTATCATGCTCTATTGTGCTGGTCTCTGTAGCTGAGGTTGCTTTGTCTCTGTCTGTTTCAGGTTCCATCATTGTTATTGTTCAGAGGCCATGACAATGAAATTGATGAAGCATCGGTCTGAGACGAGTGTCAAGTCTTTGTTTCCTGCTTATTGATCACTCGACATCTGCATTGTCAGCTTGTCTGTCAGTAGATTCGGATTTGCATAAAGATAATAGTACGATCATATCTTGATGCATTGTTCAAGCAGTCTGCATAACAGCACCAAAGATTTGTGAAGAGTGTGGTTCTGATCATGCTGTCTACGATGCTTTTGCTTAAGCATTCCACTTGCCTCCGTGCCATCCATATCTACAATATGAATACTTTTATCCAATCTCACGGCCTTCCTCGATACCTGCAAAGATCAATGAGCATTGTTAAGATATCTCATGGCTACGGCATCACTGTCAGATATACTGTTGCAAAGATGTGTGACCTCCAGGACTGATGTAGTAAAGATGACCATGAAGGTAATACAAACGCCTGCCTTCGTAACAGTGCTACCCACCAACACAAGCACAGTCAGGGTAGAGTGTCCAGGTCAAGCTTTCAGCATGACAACGCCTTCAAGCAAACTTACGCACATGCTAGCTCTTTTAGAAATCAGCCCAGCAGATCGAGTCTCTCTATTACATCACTTCATGCTGACAGGATGACATTCTAGAACCTCGAAGGAACCAGCCTATACTCGAATATCGGGTTGGCCAGGGTACACCACTACGTATGGCTACTCTCAGCATACAGATAGAGGATCAATCTGCTGATGATTGACAGTCCCTCGAAAGGACAAGTTTGATGCTGATGGCGCTCTGA